AGAGCCCGTGCTGTCTCCAAGACCGTGCGGTTTGTCGTTCTGCTACGCCGTTCGATTGCGGTGTGTAGGAGGTGGTGAGCTCCCGAATGATTCCCTGCTTCTTCAGCCATGCATTCAGCTCCTCCCCTAAGAACTCCCCACCCCTATCAGTCCTGATCCGCATCACCTTGTGATCAGATTGCTTCTCCACAAACGGCAGCCACTCATCTCGGATGATGGACGGCACTTGGTCCTTCTTCTTGATGGGGTATGCCCATGTCACTCGGCTCCAATCGTCCACGATGGTGAGGAAGAACTTCTGACCACGCTCCCCCACCACTGGCAGCGGCCCCACCACGTCCATGTGCACTAACTCAAGCAGTTTCTTGCCGCCACCCTCGGTTGCATGGAATGGGAACCGAGTGAACTTGCTCAATAGGCAAGTTTCACACTTGTGGGTTGCTGCTGCACCTGTCAGCTTCAGCCCCTTAACCCCTTCATCCTTGTGCAGTTGCTGTAGTGCGGGCATAGCAATGTGCCCGAGGCGACGGTGGGCTGTCATCCAGTCCGTTTCACCTCCCCTTGCTGAAACCTTCAGCTCCTCTGCAACTACAGCATTGCACTCCCCCTGGAAGCCATTCCCCTTATCCCAGGGCACCACTGGCAGCTGCCACATGGACTTGCATATGTCCTTATCCTCATGCAGGTCCCAAAGCATCCGCTTTCCCAGCTGCCCTTTGAACGTTTTGGCACCCTCGGTACTTGTGCTCACCGCGCACTTGCCTAACTTCCTCAGGGAGATGAGGTTTGCCTTCAAATCAGGTACCAGCAGCACATCACTTAGCACCACCGGTTTGCCGTCAGCTCCCTTGAATGCAGCGCGCCCCGCCCCCGTCACCTTGAGCGCATGCCCGGAAGCCGACTTCACTTTAGCAATCGTGTTGCCCCCACATTGTCCAGGAGATCAGCCCTTGGCGTCATAGTCCATGCTGCTCCTGTGTCCAAGATCCACGTGTTGAGCGGGTGCAGCTCGGCTCCAGCATGGGCGATTACTGCGACCTCATCCGGCTCACCAACGTGGAAGAACTGACCGGCTTCCCTCTCCTCTTGTTCAGCCGGTTCATCATCGGCAACCGCTCCGGCGCCGCTCCCATCTTGAGTCCTGTTGGAGGGGGTCCACCAGGTGGGTTTGGTCCTGCATTTAAACCACGGGTGACCCACTTTCTCACAATACCAACACTTGCCTTCCATTCTCCCAGGTCCCCTTCCACCACCTCTGCCACCTCGGCCTCCACCACGTCCTGCTCCTCTACCACCTTGCTGGTTAGAAGTCTCGTCATCCTTTGAAGCTCCTCTCCCAGTCCCTTGCCATTTCTTGCCTCTACCCCTCTTACCACCTTGCATTGCATAGCTGCTGCTTCCTTCCTCTCCTCCCCTCAACTGACGCCTCCGGAAGTCTTCCTCAAGTATCTTAGTCCGAATCCACTCCAGGGTCTAGAGGCTTTGGTTTTGGGGAAGGCTAAGGCCGCTGGTGAAGACCATCCAAGATTCCGGCAGCAGTGACAGCATCTTCACACATTTTGTTGACTCGGGGTAGGTAATGCCGGCAATAGCTAGCTTGGCGTAGAGGTCCCTAAGCTTATCTAGGACGGGTTGAACAGGATCTCCTTCACTGAGGCGCAGGGTGGAGAGCTCTCTCTCTAACATGAGAGTGGCAACAACTGAGGTAGGTGCATGAAGATCCTTGAGCACGGTCCACTCCTTTGGTTTGCACTCATCCTCTAGAAGTAGGTGCATGATATGCTGGCGTTGAGCAAGATCTAAGCTCTAAGAAAGGATGTAATATCCAGCTGAAGAACGTTCGTCCCAATCGCCTTGAAGTTCCGGATTGCTAGGGCGTTTCGGAGTGGCGAGGATCTTGTACAGCGGTGGTAGTGGAGTTCGTGACGGTGGACAAAAGATGCCCTACGCACCAATCAGTGCGCAAGGAGAGTGTGAGTTGGAGCATACACCGAGGGAAAGAACGCGCCGCAGGGCGGGTGAAACATCCAGCTGTACGAGGGAAACATCGGGCCGCAGGGCGGCGGTACAGGTACAATGTATGAACCACAGCTAGTCCTGGATGTTGGCGTGCAGGTAGATTTTGCTCAGAGTCGGAACTCGTTTGTACTCTGAATTCATCAGAGTACACTCCCGGAAAACTCTGAAACGTCAGAGTCAGCCAATATAAAATTCTGGTTTTCACAGAGTTGATAGAATGAAAAATCTGAATTTTACAGAGTGCACCGAAAATAAAATCTGAAATCTCAGACTAAAACAAGCGAATCAGACAAAAAAATCTGACTTCTGGGGGCCTGCCGTAGAATCTGCTGAGATTTCCCCCCTCCCACAATCTCGCTATCGCCACGCTGGCGAATCTTCCGCTGCAAGTGGCCCAAGAGGTGAAAATCGCCTTCTCACATGAGGCATAGACACGTGACCATGTTAACAGCTATAACGTTATGCGGAAGCGATTAATGCTTGAAATACAAACTTTGCTTGGCAACACTTAACTTCACTTGGAGCCCTTCGAGTGTGATAGCTTGTCACCTCCTAGCCAAGGGCGTGAAAATAGCAAGTGAGTAGTTATGCCTTGCTCAGCTTGTAGGACGAGCAAACTGGTCGAGGAGAATTTCGGCAGCACCAAAGTAGTCTTTCTACTCTCGTCAATACGAGGTAGTAGAATTGCGAGCTTGAAAAAACGCGAATGCATTAGATTAATTTTGACAGGTACAAGCACACATTTATATAGATTCTACGCACAGGCAAGAGCAACTAGAAAACAGTTGTTTAACTAGCTCGCAGGATTTCGCCACGCTGTATGTTGAAAACGGTTGCACAACTCCTTGAGCATTTGGCTATATCCTCCTGTTGTTAAAAACTGTCTTCAAATTGCACTTGTAACAATCGCCCCTGCTGACTCAAATGTGTACACTCATGAGACTCGCATGTTGCTCCAATGTAAACTGGTTCGAGGTCAAAGCGAAGTAGTCCGTGTCGAACTGGTGAGTGAATTGCCTGGTTCCAAGTTCATTTTATCGGGTAGGGGTCGAACTGGCCAGGTTCAATTCAAGAGGAAAGATGAAGATTCAGGCTAGAATTTTGGGTCGGGGTCCATTGCCATGATATCTTACAGCCACACAGCCGTAGTGTCAAGATGGCGGTGTAGAGGTTGTTAAGCTTGTTTGCTGTGGATGTGACTGAATTTATCATCTTGCGCAGATGATTCATCCAGCCTTAACCTCGACTTGCCAGGATTCATCGAATGACGCAATGGTGCTTGCTGGTCCTTCCTGGACCGTAAGCAAACCAGAGTATTTGTATGGATTTTTTTAGGCCCCTTCTTACACAGTAGCTACTCCATCTTCATTGAATGACGCCATGGTGCTTGATGGTCCTTCCGGGACCATGTGTAGGTGGTTGGGGATCCCAGGCCCCTTCTTCTCTTACATAGCAGCTACTTCATGTTCTCTTTCTCTTCCACCAACTCTCAAATTCATTTACAGGACCAAATGATAAGGATGACAGTTCAGCAGCAGAAGGGGAGGCCGCAGCAGCTGCAGCAGCTGCCGCAGCTGTGCTACCACTAGCAGCAGCACAAGGGAGGCGGGGTGATGGTGTTGTGGTGGAGATGGAGGCAGCACGACCATATGTGTGTCGAGAATACTCTCTGGCAGAGCTTGCCAAGGCCACCGGAGAGTGGGCAGAGGGGAACAGGATAGGAAGTGGCAGCTTTGGGGATGTTTACAAGGGTGTGTCACCCCGTGATTGCAATCAAGCCTGGGCAGTCAAACGAGCTCGAGTGCTCACCAACGACTTTCAAAGAGAGGTATCATGGTGTGACTTTCTGTTGATATGTTAGTGACACGTGTTATTTTCTTCTACCAACTCTAGGCATATCTGGTGGTCCCATGATTCAATCTCCTTTGAGCTGTTCACTATTTTCCCTCTCAGGTGAAAGAGATGGCAAGCAAGCACCATCCACATCTCGTGCGCCTGTTGGGCTATTGTATCGACTTCGACCTCTCCACCCGACTCATAGAGCAGATCCTCGTTTACGAGTTCATGCCCAATAACGACCTTGAGAGCTGGATTGGTCCTGGCGTCCCCCACCCTCTTTCGCTTCATCAAAGGCTTGACGTTCTGATTGGGGTGGCAAAGGGGTTGCAGTACCTTCATGACTTTTGCATTGTGCATCGTGACATCAAGCCCGCCAACATCCTCCTCGATGCAAAGATGCAGGCAAATATAGTTCTAAGACTGCCTGTACAAGGTGGAAGATGCCTACTCTTTTCCATCCGTCTGTAACTGTTGGGTTGTGTTTAGAATCGCCTAGCATTCTTTTCATCTTGCAAATTAGTGCTGTTGTTGTCCATGGGCTGGCCAAGATTGCAGACTTCGGGCTCGTAAAGCTTGGTGGGGGCACCGTTATGGGCACGTCTGTGGCTGCCACACGAGTGATGGGAACACCGGGCTATGTGGACCCTGCCTATTTCAAGTCTCACAAGGCCACTCCAGCAGCAGATGTGCACAGGTGAGCAGATTTGCGCAGGTGAGCAGAGCTGGTTAGGCTAGCAAAATCCAAGCAAGTTAGCATAATGGCATGAGAAAAAAAGTGAAGGTCAGCAGATGAGCACACTGGCATGAGAGTACTATTCAAGAAGGTTTCCAGAGTTGAAGAGACATGTTTTTGAGTTTCCGTTTCTTGCATGGGAGGTAAAGTTTGGGTTAAGGGCTTGCAGTGCATTCTATGTTTCCTTTGTCTCACACTCAAAGAAAGTCCATGCCTGACATTAAAGCCATTTCCAGGCGTTTTTACCAATCAAGTAGGTTGGTGATGCTCGGTGATGGGGCTTGGGTGACGATCACTTGTGGAATGATTGGGAAACAATTTCAGTGTCATTGTAAAGCTTTTGTACATCTCAGCATGATTTCAAGTATGATGCCTTTGTTTATTGCTGGGTTGCAGTTTTGGCGTGGTAATGCTGGTGGTTATCACGGCGCGCAAGGCTGTGCATGTAACAGAGGACAACCGGATCAATCTCAAACAATGGGTGAGATGCAATGAACAGTATCATAACAAGGCTGGCAGATCTTGCAACACAAGAAAGCCAGCTGCACTACGAAGTGATTTTGCTTGCTAATATCCCCTTTTCAATGCTTTTTCTTGCCCTTGGCCAAAAAGATGTAGGGAAATTCATGTTATCTTTGCCTCCGTTCCCAACAGGATACATTCTGCAATGATCAAGACAAAGTTTAACAAAGACGAGAACTGAACTTTGCCTCACCTTGTATATGTGATAGGATCCACCTTCCTATCACCCTGCTTTCTATGTAGCTCTAATTTCGTGCTTTCTATCGTTCCATCCATCTCTGCATTGCCACATTTCTAGTGAACACAGAAGTGGGTTTTCTCTTAATGTAAAACTCTGAACATTTTCAATCACCACGTTTCATGTGGTATGTGCATTAAACCTCACAGGTGGCCCCGTTGGTGGACTCCGGTGCTGTATTGGCGTTCAAGGACCCCTACTTGGACGCACCAGATGACTTGGTGCTGCGCTGGGCTCGCCTTGCCCTCTCCTGCACCGCCATGCCTGTGGCCTCCCGTCCCTCCATGAATGAAGTGCTGGGGGAGCTGGTGAAGTTGAAGCGGGAAGTGATCGGAGCACATGTGGGCGACGCAATATCTTGCATCGACATGGAAATTGAGAGTTCCATTGGCTCCTCCGGCTTTACTGCTGAATTAGCCCGTGCGGAGCGAGAGGCCATGCCAACTGGCTCTCTTGTTGAATAGACGTTGCTTTTACTTGCATCTCGCTGGTTCGCCCTGAGCGTCTAATGCCGATGGTTTTTTCCCATTTAAAACATTTATGGGGTGATGAGAAGCATTGATAGTGGTTTGGGAAGGGATATTGGTAGCATTTTCTAGTGAACACAGAAGTGGGACACGACAATTGGGTTGTGAAGCAAAATATAAGCAGTAACCACAGATTTGGCTAGTGCATGGGCACATATTCTGTGCTTGTCACCTTTTTATGAATCTCCTACTTGTATACGTGAAATTTTCTAAATTATTGATTATGTTCACCACCATCGACGGACTTCTCGATAGAAAAAAAATATATTCCTTTTCCGTGGCAGCACCAGACATCACGTTTGTGACACACTACACTCTCAAGAAAAAGCCAGCACTATCTAACTTGCAACGCACTACCCTTGCGCATCCAAAGCATTGGATATCATACTCTCCTCTTATCCCATATTTCCTACTCCTCATACTCCCCTCCATACCCCCACCCCCTTCCCCAATTATCTCATACCCTGTACCACCCTTCGTACCCCCGAGTTCTGTCACACCCCCCACTCCTTCCGTGCCCAGCACTCCTCTCATACCCCCAACTCCTCCAATACCCCTGAATCCTCTCATTCAACTCATTTCTCTCATAATCTCTCTTCTTTCATACCCCCACTCCTCGCATACCTCCACCCCTCTCATACCCACCGCTCCTCTTATGTCCCCAGTCCACTCATGCCCTCATTCCTCCTATTCTCCCCACTCCTCTCATTTTCCCCACTCCGCTCATTCACCCCAATCCTCTCATTCGTAACCCCACCCCTCAGTTACCTCCACTCCTCTCATACCCCTCACTCTTCTCACACCTCCTTCTCGTCTCATACCCCCCACTCCTCTCACAACCCCCAACCCCTCACCCCATGATCCCACACCATCTCGTTGCTCATTTTCTCCCATTCTGTGGAACTCCCCAGGCTGCTCAAAACATGCATGATTGGTGGTGGAATACTATGCCCATTCACCAACCTTACATGCAATCGATGCCATCCAGCAAACGTTTTTCTCAAGTCGACCGCCTTTGAAAAGGTAGGCCTGGCAGCCACTTTTCTGCAGGTGGCTCTGCTGTTACTCTGTCTGCTCTTGGCAACTTGGCAACATCAGCTCCCATTGTCGCTGCTTCTTCTTTGGCCTTTCTACATTAGCACATGGCGCGGTGTGCCACCCACCCAGGCATCTGCCACGCCGTGATAATCCAAGGAGACGCTGCTGATTCTTCTCCTGCTGTCCGCCCTTAAGTTCCTGCTGTCGCTGCATCAGCAACAACAAGAAGCCTCTCCTCTCCATGCCTCCAACACACCCCACGGGTCTGCTCCTTCACTGAGCTCGTGCAACATCTTCGTCCCTGGTGTGGATTTTCATCCCACACACTACTCACACCTCTGCCATGCCTTGCCATGTTAAGCAGCTGTATTCCTTCTGCGATGCCTTTCAGTTGTTCTGCTCCTGCTTTTGATTGTTGTGCTTCTGAGATTGGTTGTTCTTCTCCTGCTTTCTACCCCGTGCCTTGTGACCCTACATTTGCCTCAGCGGCCGCAGCAAGCTACTGCTCATTCACTCTCTTAAGATGCCTTTGCTTCCACACGGGCCTCTGCCATGCATTGGCCAAACCACGTAAGTTCTGCCCTTTGCAGTCTTGGCTCTGGGATAGAAATGTATTGTGGTTGCAGAAACCGTACGCTTATGTCATTGTTGTGGAACCAGGCTGTTACGATTTTGCAATTCTTGTAGTGGTCATTGTCAAGTAAGTCCGTTGTTGCAAGAAGTTAGAAAACTTCGTGCCAATGAATAATTGCGTGATGCTGGATGGACATGTTCTACGCTATAACACCTGACACACCATAAAAAGGAAAAAAAAGAAAAATTGCTGAACTATGAGCCGCTACTCTTTTGCAAAGAATCAGCAGACTTCTGTTCAACAGTGGAATGATGTATGACACTTGGAAATCTTTGTGGAAGAACGTGCAGTCACTCTTGGGGAGCAGCAGCAGCAGTCTTCCTTTCAAGATAAAAAATCCACAGCGTCGCTTGAAGAAAGCTCCTCGTTGTTGCGGAGGGCCCAGAGGAGGCGGAGCACACTGCCTGCCAAATATACCGCCAAGGGCCCAGAGGGAGACGTGATAAGAGTGGTCATATTGGCCTTGCGCCTGCTGAATAGGCCCTGCAAAGAGGGAGAGCAGGCAAGGCAGGGAAGGTAGGGAATGCAGGGAAGGGAAGGTGGGATGGGAAGGTAGGGAACAGAAAGTAGGAAAGGGAAGGTAGGAAAGGGAAGGGAGGGAAGAGAAGGCAGGGAAAGGAGGGTAGGGAAGGGAAAGTAGGAAGGAGAAGGAAAAGAAGGGGAGGGAAGGCGACAAAGATGCAGGCTGATAACTGGCAGAGCACACTGCCTGAAATTTTGTCCAGTCAAAAAAGAGCCAATCCATTATTTTTACAAGGGTGATGATCTTAGCCTTGTGCCAACCCCAATAGGACCAGTTGGGGTTTAAGGGAAATTAGTATGGTAAGTGGATGACGATAGGGTAGGAGAGGAAAGACGGCAACATGGGAGGTAGACGGCAGCTCCCCGCTTTTGTGGACAGCACCATGTGCTCCCACCCACGTGCACACGGGGCCTGGTGGTTGAGATTTTTGGGAGTCCTTGCTGGGGGGATGTTAACAACCCACTCGTGGCCATGTTGTTAACAACTCACGATCCACCACCCACAATCCACCACGCACCATCCACCATCCACCTTCTACCAAGCACCATCCACCATCCACCATCCAGCAGCGTCCATCATCCACCATCGACCACCCACGATCCACCATCCACCAGCCACCATCCACCATCCATCATCCACCATCCACAATTCACAATCCAGCATCCACCATCCACCATCAACCATCCGCCCCTTAATTCTCCAACATGGCAGCCTAGAGGGCGGGAGAGGAGGTAGGGCAGGGGGACAGCTGCACACAGTAATTACCCCCCTCCCTTTCTCTCGCCCCCCTTTCCTCCCACCATTATACTATACCCCCCCACACACGCTCCCTTATCCGCCATCTCACCAGCACTGCCTTGTCTCCAGCCCACTCCCCCCTTATTCTCACAATGCACGCAGGGGAGCATGAGAGACTGGAAACGAGTGGCAGGGCCGTGGCAGTCCAGGGGGACGGGGAGGAGGTAGGGCGGGGAGAGCTTTACCCCATAGCGCCCTGCCATGCTGTGCTGGAAGAGGTGGGAAAGGGTGGTGCATGTATGAGGATGGGTGGTGAGTTTCTGGGGAGTGAGGAGAGGTGCATGCTTTGGCATGGTGGCCCCCTGCCACGATGTGCTAGAAGAGGTGGGAAGGTGCGGATGGGGTGAGGCTTTGAGGGGATGGGGTGGGGGTGGGTGCGATGGGGGAGGAGGGAGGGAGAAGCAAAGAGCATGGGGAAGCAAGAAAGGTAGGGCGGACCATCATGCATCGTTGCTAGAGTGTTATCCTAGTCGTTATCTTGACCAATCCCACGACGATGGGGTCACTGCTGGAGAGCAGTCGGGCGACACCAAGGTCCATCGCAGGCCAGTTGTGTTCCGCTACGAGGGCCTCACTGCCAGGGAACAGCACGCAAAGTACGCGCACACCTAAGGCGCGTGATGTGCTCTGCTCTGCTGCGGTCTCGTCAGCAAGCTCTTGCTGGGTGGGTGGTGTACTCCAGCTCTGTTGACCTGTGGCCCATGGCCCCATGCCGGTGATCTGCGCGTACATGACTTGCGCTACCCACTAGATCCCACTGCCTCCTCGCCAGCTGGCTCCTCCCAGCAGGATCAGGGCATGGGGGAGGAAGACAGTGGGGGAGAGGCGTGTGGCCAAGGCGTGAGAGGGGGAGGTGTTGGAAGGAAGCGTGGAGGGGAGGCACAGGCGGGAGGCGTGGGGAAAAGGGGTTGGGGAGCGGGTTGGGCGAGAGGTTTGGGGGAAAGGATTGGGAAAGAGGTTTAGGGAAGTGTTGGGAGAGAGGCGTGGCGGAGAGGGGTGAGGGTGGGGCGTGTGGAGAGTGGGGGAGAGGTGCGGGAAAGCAGGGCAGGGGAGACGGGTGGGTAGAGGCCGTTGGGGCAAGCGGGTGGGGGAGAGAGATGGGGGATAGGTGTGGGGGAGAGGGTTGGGGGAGAGGGGTGAGGGAGAGGGGTGGGGGAGAGGGTTGGGGAAGAGGGGTGAGGGAGGGTGGTGGGGAGATGGGTGCAGAGAAAAAGTGGGCATTGTGGCTTGAAAAAATAACCAATCTTTGCGTCACATACCTCACCCTTTTTGTCCGAGCCTTCACCTACCCTCATCTCCCTTCAACCCCCCTATCTCCTCTTAAGCCTCCCATATCCCCATTATCCCATCGCCCCCCTCACCCATGGGCGCAGCCACTCGTGCATGCCCTGCGCCATCACCCCTCACCGCTCATCCCCAAATCCCCTCCTCTCCTCTTCCCCCCCTCTCTTCTCACTCACTCACCAGCAGGCGCGACCACTCACACATGTCCTGGGCCAGCTTGCGCAGCACCACGCGGTCTGCTACTGCTGGCATGCGGCTCTCACACACCTGGCGGGGGGAAAAACGGGGAGAAGGGGGAGGGGGGACAAGTATGGATCAAGCACACTCATGCATTTGGCATGAAGCCAGACCGCATTGGAACAAGAGAAAGCCCTGGAGGAGCAAGGAGATTAGAAGAGGAGTAAGGAGAGTAGAAGAGGAGCAATGAGAGTAGAAGAGGAGCAATGAGAGTAGAAGAGGAGCAATGAGAGTAGAAGTGGAGCAATGAGAGTAGAAGAGGAGCAATGAGAGTAGAAGAGGAGCAAGGAGAGTAGAAGAGGAGCAAGGAGAGTAGAAGAGGAGAAACGACAGTAGAATAGGAGCAAGGAGAGTAGAAGAGGAGCAAGGAGAGTAGAAGAGGAGCAAGGAGAGTAGAAGAGGAGCAAGGAGAGTAGAAGAGGAGCAAGGAGAGTAAAAGAGCAGCAAGGAGAGTAGAAGAGGAGCAAGGAGAGTAGAAGAGGAGCAAGGAGAGTAGAAGAGGAGCAAGGAGAGTAGAAGAGGAGCAAGGAGAGTAGAAGAGGAGCAAGGAGAGTAGAAGAGGAGCAAGGAGAGTAGAAGAGGAGCAAGGAGAGTAGAAGAGGAGGAAGGAGAGTAGAAGAGGAGGAAGGAGAGTAGAACTTAGGAAAGGGAATTTGTAAAAAAAAAGATCGGCAAGGTCGCATCAGAGTGGCGCAGCGGAAGCGTGGTGGGCCCATAACCCACAGGTCCGAGGATCGAAACCTCGCTCTGATAAGGCTATCACCCCCAACGGGGCTGTTTTGTTTATGCTAAAATGTATTTGTTCTTCAGTTCCCAGAACAGAATCGTGGTGCGAGGATGGCTGTAAAGTTGTGATGCACACCACGCATGTACAACCACCATGGATCTCCCACCCACGCACTCTATCCTCGAGTTCTGATATTGGGAACCCTCCAAAACTTCTGCCCATTCACTCCTTCAAAAGCATTATATATCCTACTACACTGCATATCTTCTTTTTTTTCCCTACATACCCATCCGTTACAGGTGAAGGAGGTGTTTTCTCTCCCATGTATTCCTGTAGGCGCCAGTAGAAGGTAGCCAGAAAGGCCGAGGCCGCATGGGTGAGTTTTTATATTGTAGAACATTCATACACACACGCATGCAGAAATGAATACGAAGAGTGAAGGCGACCCATGAGGAGGAAAGGACTGCATAGGGTAGTAGTGTGAAGTCACACACGAGTCGGAATGAACCCTATGCTCCTTCATGGTTCATTCCGACTCACGAGCCGTGAAGGGCACAAACAAGGGGATGGGAAAGTTGCTGACAGAGTGAAAAGGAACCTCAAGAACAGCGAGCGAACCAGAGAGAGGAACCAGAGGAGTCAGGCAAGGGAGGAGATGATCAGGTTGGAGAGGTACACAGAGGGGCTGGTACAAAGGTGATGTTGTACATTAGCCACATGAAGCGAGCTGAACGAGCAGAGCAGCCAGAAGGTCCCAGGAACAGCGATGGTATCAGAAAATGGTTTCTGAGAAGGGAATCGTCGTGCAAGAGAAAGGAGGTGAGAGAAAAATAAAAGTAGCAAGCAAAGACAAAGGGGTCTTATCTGTTGAAGTTTCTCCAAACAAAAAAAACCTTCATTGTATAAGCAGAATTTGACGCTCCCATCACACCTTTACATCAATGCAAGTAGGTAGGTGAGGGTTGCAAAACGCGGCAGTGAGGGATAGGCCAGAAGGGATCCCAAGAGTAGGAAGGGAGCAAGATACAAGGCTGCACGAGGATGCGGACCAGGAATGACGACGAGTCAAAGATCTCAGCTCAGCGTGGCATGAAATATGCAACCTCACCCACCGGATACACATCCTCACACTGGATAGAACCGAATCCATGATTGGTTGCTTCCGTGGCTTGTTTCTCCTTACCACAGCCAGGCGGGGTGAGGGGAGACGGAGTGAGCCCACCACGCGGGATCTGAAATCATAGTGCAAGGGAGAAGACAAATGGTGGTGAGTCCTATACTATGAGTGAACAAAGGGGCTCGTGGCCTGGCCGTTTGAGGTGCACTTTGAGTAGGAAGATTCCTGAAGTAGACTCGCACGCAACTCGGGTCAGCTTGAGACCATGGGGCTGATAGAAAACCAGAGCATCTCGGGCTGTGCTGGTTTTCTATTACACACTTTCCAAGCCAAATCGCATGCATTCAAGACCTCAGTTTCAAAGATTTTCCGTTGGTTGAGGTTGGCGAGGAGCGTAAGACATGCTAAATCCATCCCCTGACCTGGAGGACTACCCCCGGGGGGAGTTTAGAACGAGGTGGCTCATGAGTCGCAAGGCTGGGGCGAGCCTGGCAGCTTGGTGAGAGCCTCCTTGGCCCGGGCATTAGATTCTTACCAGTTCAAACCACAAGCAAATGCACTCCTCAAATGTGAGTGGAACGCATTTGCAGGTCGAGTCAACGTTGATTTGCGAGTTGATTCGAGCCGGATAGCCGAGTTCGGTAGACCGTAGAATCGAAATTTGACTCGAATCGGGTCAAGGTTGGTCGACTCGTTTTGGCACATTGGCCCGATATGACAAAAAGTACGAGCAAAACGATTTGTAGGCTGCGAGCCAGGCTTGCAATGCGGAAGGCCTACTGGGACAGCTATAGGATGGCTTACCTCTTCTCGATGTGCCCCCATGCCGCCCTGCCCCATGCCGCCTTGCCCCATGCCCCCCTGCCCCATGCCGCCCTGCCCCATGCCGCCCTGCCCCATGCCGCCCTGCCCCATGCCGCCGTGCCACATGCTACCTTGTCGATTGAGTGCCACGCTGCCCTGTCTCTGCAGCACACGCTGCTGCTGCTGCTGTCAAGGCTGCGCCGCCCGATCGCCACACTACACTGATGCTGTGAGTGCAATCCACGCTGCTGCCCACCATGCCACCACCACCGCCATTATGGGCAGTCGCGGTGCTGCCATGCTGCGCGCACTGGGGGAAGCCCAGGGAAGAGGAGGTGGGTGTGGGCATGATCACGCCCGTGAGAATGGCATCCGTGAGTGCTGCATCAGCTGCCAGCAGCCGTGCTCGCCCCTCCTCCATGCTCGCGCTCCTCCCAATCATGCTGCCTCTGCTTCCCGTGCTTCCCGTGCTGCCTATGCTGCCTGTTCTTGTTGCTGGCCGCCACAATTCCTCCATGCCTGGGTGCCCCTGTCCCCTTCTCCCCCCCCCCCCCTCCTTCGGCCTTGTGCCTGCGCGCATGTCTGTATTGATCAAACTGCCGCTCATGCTCCCTCCCGCCCCTTCTCCCCCACCTTCTCCCCCCCCTCTTCCCTCTCCCCCCCCTCTTCCCTCTCCCCTCCCTCCCATTCTCCTGCCCATGCTGCCCTCGAGTCGTCTCCCAGGGGCAGTAGTGTAGGGGAGGCGCGCAAAAGAGGAGCTAATGCTGCTAGTGCGAGGCGTGCGGAGGAGAGGCTGAGGCAACGGGCCTGACACAGGCAGTGGGGGGAGAAAGAGGGGAGCCAAGGCGCTGGTGGGACGAATGTGAGAAGCAGAGAAGAAAGTGGTGCTGCGGATACTGCAGACACGTGGTGTCATATGGCATTGCGTGGGGGACAGCCACAGCAGTCGCACATGCGCGAAACACACCTAAGGAGCAGGGGAAGAGCGACATCTAAAGCAACGTGCTGGACACTCCCCCCCCCCCCCCCCCCCCCCCCTCCCCCAACCATCTGCACCACCACGGCCGCCAGTATCCGCGTCCCCTCTGCTGCTCTTGACTCCTCATTCCTCCTCCCTTTCCTCGCCCGCTCCCTCTGCTGCCCCCTCCCATGCTCGCTGCCTCTCACTCCTCCATCTGCCTGCCCCCACTTCACCCTGCTGCTCCACTGCACCCGCCGCCAGTCTACCTGCGCTGCCCGCGGCGCTTGCGTCGCCCAGGCGCGGCCCCAAGAAGGAGTAGAAGGCGGGCACGGGTGCTGCAGGGCTCACTTGGGCGGGCGGCGGCACGGAGTGGTGCGACAGGGAGAGCAAGGGGTAGGAGGGGGGATATGGGGAAACAAGGAGGAAGGGGAAACGGGAAGGAAGGGCAAGAAAAGGGGGGTTTGGGGGGGAAGAGAAGGAAGGTGTGATTAGGGCAGTGGGGGCGGAGAGAGGGGTTGGGAGGTGCAGACACGAGTGTGGCTGCCCCTCTCCCTTGCGCTCTTTTCTTCCCTCTCCCATCATCCTTCCCCATCCCCCTCATCTTCCCCCTTCCCCTCCCCTCCCTCTCCCTCCTCCCCACTGTCCACGCCCAGTGCTGCCAGCCACCGTAGCGCCACCGCCGCCGCCACCTCCCGTGCCCACTCGCCCTCCCCCTCGCTCGAACAAGTTGCCAAGGGACAAGGAGCGGATGGGGGAGTTACCCACTGGATATACTTGAGGCGCAGGGGAAGCACTCAACCTTACAAATAAGCCCCACAGGCGTTGCACGAATAGGGCAGGATGGGGAGCGAAGTGGGTGCCGTGGGCACGCGACAGAGACTGATGCTGCGAGCAACGCGGACAAGAATAGAGCAGGATGGGAAGCAGGGTGAGTAAAGTGGTTGGTGAGACGGAATGGTTTAAGAGCAACAAAGAGCACGGATCTAGGGTAACGTCTTTATGCACAGCGATTGCAATGGGGAGCAGAATGCGGGACGCGGGGAGGCGAGGGGCTTTCGAGGCGCCAAAAGAAGCGCGAAGAGAGCGGGATGGGGAACGGAGTGAGTGGTGCGGGGAGGAATCTTGTCGGATCGACCTACGTGCACACTGAATCCCCCTCGTTCCCTCCTCTCCCCTTCAACAATGGTGATTTCCCATCCTACCTGCAGCAAGGTTTTTGTCGGACCAATCCACTCGCACATCGATTGTGGTCCCCTCTTTCCCCCTTGCGTGCAAGTCTGCGCCTCAATGGATCAACCTGCGAGCAGTTATCTCCTAATGCGAGCAATAGAGGGACCCCAGTTCAAGTGAGTGAACTCAGTGCAATAGACCCCACTGCGACTGCGACTTGCCTCAGCGACAGACCCCACCCCAGTGAGTCAGACTTCAGTGCGACAAACGGCAGTGCGACAAACGGCAGTGCGACAAACGGCAGTGCGACAAACGGCAGTGCGACAAACGGCAGTGCGACAAACTTTAGTGTGACAGACGTCACAGATCCAGCGCGCTGCCTTGTGTGGAGCGACAGTCGCATCGTCATGCCCAAGTTCTTCCAATGAACAGCACAAAAACAAGACAAAGAGGGTGACCACTAGGCAATTAATAATACGTTATCAGAGTAATCGCTGTGCTTTGATGTGACGTCGCACTGTGAAGTGCAAAACAATACTGATACAAAAAAAATAGCGTAACATGGACGCTACTACAGTTTCCTCAGCAAACCCATTACACCACAAACGAGCTCGTGCTCAGCAGGATTCGAACCTGCGCGGGCAGAACCCAACAGATTTCTAGTCTGTCCCGATAACCACTCCGGCATGAGCACATGTTTGTGCTCCCCACAACTGGACTATACTCCCCTCACCAGCGCATCTCCTTCTCCTTTTGCTCAACCCTGGGAACCCAGTAGCCCTGTCTAACCTCGCCTCATCTGCTCGTCCTCGAAAACTGACGGCATGCAACAAGCTTGCTAGTGGTGACTTGCTGGTGAACCATCCTTAGACTACGTTCCTCTCACCACCTACCGCCTTCTCCCGCTGCTCTACCCTGAGATAGGACATGACCACAAGGAAAACAGCGGGCCCACCTAGCCTTGCCTCACCCGTAATCTGTTCGTGACCCACTATTGACAAACAAGTTTCAAACAGCCCAGCCCACCACCCCTCACTCACTCCCGAACGCACCTCCTCCTCCCTCTGCTCGTCACTCCTAAAAAACCGCCACGGGGCACCCAGCCGCCCCTCCCACCAGCTTCGCCTCACCCGTGATCTACGAGTGACACAGAAGCATCATACAGCCCAGCCCACCACCCCTCGCTCACTTCGGACGCACCTCCTCCTCCCTCTGCCCGGCCATCCTCAAAAACCGCCACGGGGAACCCAGCAGCCGGGCCTCACCCAGCTTCGCCTGCAGCCTCCCGTGCAGCTCTGCCATGGCAGCAACCTCTTCTTGGGTGAGCAGTGCGCCCGTGCCGTGGGTATGGGGGAGTCCGTGGGGCAGAAGATGGCGTGGGAGAAGCAGGTGCGGGGCTGAAAGGGGGAGGGTGAGAGGAGCGGGGGGGAGGGTAAACAACACAGTGGCTTATGAGGGGATTGTGGGAGGCAGTACCGTAGGAGCGTGGTTTCAGTAGGCCAGAAGTGGGTGTAGGAGAGGCAGGTGTGAAGCTGGTGAAGAGAGGAGTGGAGGAGGAAAGAAAAGAGGGTAAGGGTGGTGAGAGGAAGGTGCGGTGGAGCCCTGGAAGGAGTGCACTTGGAAGCCCGCGGGTTCCCTGTGAACAGTGCGCCCATGTTGCAGAGGTGGGGGATTGATGGGCCAGAAATCGGTACGCGAGAAGCAGGTACTGTGCGGAGCTGGTGGGGACACGGCAGGAAGGGATGGGGGAGGTGGGAAGGGGAGAGGAAGGGACAGCGCGTGGGCGACGGAAGTGGCAGAAGTCCGCGGGCCACACATGGAGTAGGAGGAACAGGTGCATCATAGCTGGGGGGGGTGGGAAGAGAGAGGCGGAGCCAGAGGGTATGGGGAAGGGAGGGGATAGCGCCTGGGAGAGCTGAGCGGTGTGCCCGTTGGGGCGTGTGTATATGAGTCTGTGTAGAAAAACTAGGTGCGGAGCTGGAAAGGAAAGGGGAGAAGGGGTGAAAGAGGTCAAGGGAAAGGGAAGAAGTGGGAGGAAGTGATAGTGCCTTTGTGAGTAACTATGTTGGAAAAAACGCGTTTCGCGTTTAGTACGCTTTCCGTATAAACGCTAGAGTTTATACGCAGTACGCTAGCCGGAGGGGGTCTGGTACGCACAGAAAAACGCTTGCCCGGGCAGCTAAATTCTTTTCCCGGGCAGGTTAAGATGCTAGGTCAAGAGACGGGAACGGGAGCTGCTGTAGTAGGTTATCGTCGCAAGTGAAATTAGAAGGGGATCGAAGGGAAAAACGGCCTGACATTGAGCGGGGAGGATGAGTCTGGTTGAAGTTGGCAACAAAATTGGAAGGCATTGGTAATCGATGTGGTTGGATGGAATGGGTTGTTGAGCGGTTGATAGGAGGGGACGATTCACCAAACGGTTTCGAAATTCAGATCTGAGGTTGCATTTGCAATTCGCGATCTCAAATCTGAATTCCGATACTCGCGAACACAACTGATTTTTTTTTCCCGGTCAGCCCGAGAGAAATTTGGCGAATTTTAGAAAAATACGCAGCGTACGAATTTTAGATGCGTATAAACTCAATACGCAACGTCAAACTTGCGTTTTTTCCAACTTAGGTGAGTAATGTGCTTGTGTGGTACGGGCAGATGTCAGGGGCACACAAGTCGATGTGGAATACACATTTACGGGCATTATCCAGCCTGTTAACTCCCCCCAGGTCCCTTCCACCCATTGGTGACACCCATCGCATCACCTATGACCTCCGCCCGCCCCAGCAGCAACCCCTCCTTCACCCCCCTTCAGCCCCCCCCCCCCACTCCTTTCACAAACCCCCACTCACCGTCCCCTTGGCCAACTTTCACACGAATACCCACCCCTCACCGCTCTGACCTGTGGGGTTGGCGATATATCCACCGTACCACCGCCCCGCCATCTTCAACACCAAACACATCCTCTATAGCCTCCGCCAGCCCCATCAGCAGTCCCCATTCCCCGCCCCCTCGTGAGCACTCTCTGCAGCGCAAACGCTCACAGAGCTGGGGTGGAGAGGGGAGAAGAGAAGAAAGGAAAAGGGGCAGTGGCTAATGAGAGGGATGTGAGTGACAGTGCTGTGAGGATGCAAACCTGTGGGCCGGAAGTCCCTAAAGGAGAAGTAGGCGCAGAGATAAGGGGAAGCGGAGAAAGGCGGGGAGCAGTGCTTTGATGAGGAGGATGCGGGCAGGGGGGGAAGCGGGAGACAGTGCTAAAGAAGCGTGAATCTGTAGGTCCGTGGAGGAGGAGCAACGGAGCTTTGGGGGGGAAGGGAGAAGGGGGAAAGAGGGTCAAGGGGAAAAGGCGAAAGTGGTAGGGAACGCAGTGAATTAGCGAGAAATGTCATGTGTGGTAAGGGCAGAATTCAGGGGATCAAAATGCAGTGTGGCATACACACATGCGGTGCTGAGCGGATGAGATGGGGGGAGGTTGCAATAGGGAGTTGGTTGGGAAGACGTAATTGGAAATTTAAAAGGAGAGGAGGTTTTTGCAGGGGGGATGGGGGGATGAGATTCACTCTTGGCTGCAACCATCCTTTCAGCTCACCTATGCTGCCCATCAACTCCCTCCACTCACATCAAAGCCATCCCAAAGCCACTCACAATGACTCCTTGCCAACTCTTGACTGACTCTCAGCAACTCTCGCCGAGATAGCTATTCAACTGCCCCCTTCCCACCGCCACCCACGAGTGACCCGAGTGGTTCCTACACACATCTCCCCCGCTGCGCACCGACTTCCAACCAAGCCCCTACATGTTTCTAACCTTGTCGATTTCTAGCTTGTCAACTGCTGCCACCAAACAAGCCCCCAGGCGTCTTCTATGGCCTCTGCCAGCCCTGGAAGCACCCCCTCCCCCCCCACTCTCCCCTCCCCCCGCCCTTTCCGTCGCTTCTCCCCCCTTCCTCCACGCCCCTTCTTCCCACTCCTCCCCCCCTTTTCACCGCTTCCTCAATTGACATCCACACACGCCCCTACCCAGCAGGCCCGTCACCGACTCTCACCTTCGTCATACAAGTCCATCCGAAGCCACAAGAGAAGTTGGCGAGCTGCCATGTGAAGCTCGGGATCTGAATTGTACTTTCCCGTGTGTGATTTCGACCACAGCCTGTGGGGGAGCAGAGAAGCGGGGATTGAGGACAATATGAGCGGAAAAAAGGGGAGGGTAGAGGGTGACGGGGGGGAAGGGGGGAGAAGCAGAATGGGAGAGACAAGGCGAGTTGAATAGGGAGAGAGGAGCGCAGGGAACCAATCGCAGCGACAGTAATTGTTGCAACACGTGGATGGCAGAATGACGCTTCAACAACCTGTGCCATGTGGCATGCGACAACTGTACCTCCTGAATCTGTCCGATCTTCCCAGCACCATCATCCCTTCGCTTTTTGCTTTATGCATCATGAAATCTCCAATAACCCATATCTGTCATGTCACTGGTAAATATCTTTAATGTAAGCACCGGACAAAACGTCTTGCTGCTGCGACGCCATGCGGGGAATACCCAGCGAGACACAGAGAGCTGCAGCTTACCATCAGCACTACTCCGTCCTTGCAACCCTCCCCACGAAATCCACAGCACCTTCGACGCCTCAGAGAAAGGCCCGAAACAGACCGAGGCAGCCTCGCTGCACCGCCTGTGCATGCGGCCGAGTCACCATCCTATCTCAGAAATCCCGCGAATGGGTGTCGCGATTTGCCTGAGCAGGCAACAGGGACCGCCGAAGGAAGGCTGAATCACTTGTGCGGCGTCGCACAAGTGCAGCAGCAGCACCAGCAGCAGCAGCAGCTGTGCGCCGTCTCGCGAGGCGGGAGTGCGCAGCAGCATTTGCAGCAGCAGCGGCGGGAGCTGCACACCGAGCAAGGCGGGAGTGCGCGGTGCGGGGAGAGCGATGATCGGATCAGGTAGACTCGAGTCTGAAATGCCGCAACGTAGTAGCAGCTGGCGACATGGGCACGACGACGGGTCGTTTCTGTAGCTGCTACTTGAAAATAATGTCTATTGGTAGCTATTAAAGGATAGCAGGGGCCATTGATAGAACTAATATAGAGAGCGAGTGCACATGGTAGATTGGATTGGCGGTGACGAAGACGCTGGCGACGATTCCACCAATGCGTGGTGCGGACGGAAAGAGCCGGTACGGTTCCATGCACAGCTACTATAAACCGCCATCGATGCACAGCTGCTTGAGAAGGTGGATTTCTGGAAGTGAGGTAGGCACAAGAAGATTCAAAATTAGGGTTGGAGGCTGTAATGACCATCGAACAGAGAAATGGAAACGACGATCTGTGATTCAAGTCTCCATTTACACGAGCACAACCTTGCTTGGCGAAATTTCCGTGGCAAGGTTTGGGTAAGGGACAAAAGGCTCGGAAGCGACGCGAATCAGCTTCGGCTTCGTCAAATCGGCCGAGCCTGATCCCCACCATGTTCGGGAATTCGTACGATACCCCTAAAATGTCGCCTCCAAACCAGAAAGTAAACCGAACGCACAGACCTCCGAACTTCACGCGTCCCTCCTAATCGCCTTGAGGAGCCACGGCTCAAGTGGAAAGCAAACCAGAATCCACACACACACCCGTTTCACGTTCGAGGCTTTAAGTAGTACGCTCTGCTGTGCGTTGTCGGTGTATTATTTAGGGTGCGTCAGATCCGTTGGCCGGATCAATCCGGCCGGCCGGATCTAGCGAAGGTTACACATTCACGACATTTGTAAGGTATTTCGTCAATTTCGCACAATCCGGCCACTTGCTAAAAATTTGATGGCCGCTTTGATGGCCGGTTTAGCGGTCGACAAATTTCCGACGTGCAAACGAATCACGAGTCGACCACATTGTCGACTCGTCAGCGATACAGTACCTGTGCGACTTGGCCAACATACCCAACTGACTCAACGTGTCACAAGGACGACTCGCATGGCGCGTTCAGCCCCGTTGAACATGACCACTTTCCGGGGTCACACTTGTATAGAGCGAAACGTGCAATTTTACGCAAGACCAATCTGCGCCTCGCCACCTCGTCTTGACTGCGGAACATTGTTCTACTCCGTGCACGGGGTCACACATGACGATCATTGCCAAACTCAACCAAACAAAAGTAGATTATGGCTTACAGGGATAGCAACGACATGAACACACAGTCTAGCGACAATGGCAGCACCCCAGGCACCCGCCCAGATACACAACAGTCTACCAACACTGCTCAAGCTCCACCCACCAGAACTGTCAGGGAATCTTCCCGTGAGCACATTAACCCGTGGGATCGTAATCCAGACTGGTGGATTAACAACCTACCCCGCCCAGACTCGCCTTACGGTATCAACGATGACTACGGGGTAGGCGAGGAGGCCCCCGAAATATGCTCCGCCAATGACGACGAGGAGCTTGACCTAAACATAGGACGGACTAACACGGAGTCAGCGACCGCGCCTATATCTACCGCTACCAGGACCACTTTGCCTCGATGGACCAAGGAAGAGGATTTCCTTCTAATGCAGGAGCGTCACGACATGCACGATGACTGGAATAACATGCGCGGAATGCAAGGCCAGAGCCAACACGCCAAGCTGCATCGCAACCTGCTCGCCCGTAATCCGAGGTGGCGCCACTCGGTTTCCGCTCTCCGACCGAAGCTCCGCCGCATGGAAGCCACATGGCTTCGATGGAGCAAGTTCTTGGAGCGCTCTGGCAAGGGTCGTGCGGATGGATGCCCGGCGTGGTATGATCTGGCCGACGCGATATTCCGACCGCGAGAATCTGTGAATCCAGAGACAACTGTGGAAAGCACCCCAACTGCAACGACGGCCAACACCGTGCCATCTGCGGCGAATGGCGGGCACACAACATCCCGGTTCAACGATGCGCCCGACTCTATCGCCGATAGCGTCGTGCCACCGTCGACCGGTCCAGGTTATGCCGTGCAACATGGCGGAACCCCGACCGTAGTTGCACCAGTCGCATCCGGGTCTACTGTACGCTCTGGTAAGCATTCTGAGTTTTAAATGGTTGTGCTTTGATATTACAAGTTACCTTGTTCAACTCCAGTACAACATGACTTTCCTCTCAACTCCATTACATTAATTCCCTCTCATCTCCGTCACTTTCCCTTCTTTCACCTGTGCCTGCAACAGTGCAGGCTACTGAACCAGCGGTCGCCCCGCCGGTCGCCAATCCCCTCGTCACTTCGCCTTCACGGTCGACGGGCCCTGAACCAGCCCGGCCCACGACGTCAACGCCGACTCCGCCTCGTCAGCAAGCCTTGCCACGCGCGCGCGCAGGCGCTCTATCCCTCAGTGCTCACCCGGGTGGATCTCTCCGCAGTGGACGCACCACGGCGAGGGCACGTGTGACGTCTGCGGTTGGGATGTGGGGGGGTGAACACGATGTTGAGTACAGTGGGCGACCGGGACGACGTAAGGGCAAGGAGAAGATGATGTACGATATGTGTGGGTTCATGACGAAGGAGTTAACGAGCGCTATCCAAACGACAATGACCCAGTTTTTTTAACGCACCCGAGAAGAGGACGAGAGAGCCCGGGATGCCCGAGACGCCAAGAGGCGTAAAGGAAAGCAGAAAAGCGATTCCGCCTCAAAGTCGGAGTGAATCCGGCGATTTCGATGCCGTGATGTGCAAGGCTGGCGGCCGGTCCTTGAAGCCACCATCGATTTCTCGGGTACGGCATCTCCATTCGGTATCTTGTGCCAAGCACCATTTCTATGTTATGCAGGGTTACCACAGCCGCCACCGTGGCGGGCACATGGCGACGGTGGCATTCCATTCTGGCGTCTAGGATACGCCATTTTGTCTTTAAGCGCCCGTTGACTTGCTCAACTATCATGCGCGCCCGTGACTGCTGCTTGTTCCACACGGCTTGCGCGTCCGGCAGTAGCTGGCCTGGGGTGGCTCGGAAAGGCACGTAGATGTAGTTTTTAAGGCCGTATGCCGCATCGCTGACGATGCAGTAGTTGCCAATCCCTCCGCATTCAATCATTTGTTTAGCTTTCGAATTATTGAAAACCTTCGAATCATTGCACGAACCCGGCCAGCCTGCTAACATGCTCCAAACAAGGCCGTTGGCGTCGACGAGTAGTTGTAGGATAATGCTGAAGAAGCCTTTACGGTTCTTAAAATCCTCCGCATGTGGTCCGGAACCGCGGGTGTGTATGTATGTGCCGTCCATAGCACCCACTATCCCTGTGATCCCACTGTCCCATTTGAAGTCTGCTTCCGAGGCAGCAAGTTCGTCTGTATCGGGCCATAAAATCCATTCGGCCATGAGGACGTCTTCATTGAATCGGACCCAGGCCTTCACAATCGTGTGGGCATGCGCGTGTGAGAAGCCAAAAAGCAATCCCAGCTGACGAAATGTCATCCCGCTTCCGAAGCGAAGGAGCACAAGAGCTACTTGGAGAGCCACCTTGCATGCATGTTTGCCAGTGCTGATGAGGTGGTCAGACCACACGCGGCAGAGGTAACCGAATACGTCACGATCAACTCGTAGTGTTTCGTATAGGTGGTCTGGTGACATGTGCAAGAAGCGCTCCATCCAACGAGCTCGTTGAATACTTCGGTCATTTCGCCAGAACACTTGGTAATCGCTCTCGTCGGCAAAGTCAAGGAGCAAGGGCACCATGACACCGACTGCAGCGACCAAGGGGATGAGCACAACGTGCGTGAGGCCGATTGCTAAACGTCGTGCCCATCTGGGTGTGAAAGGATCCGCCATGTTGGATAATGGATAGAGTGTAGGGACGTTCGGGGTTTTGTATACTCTCGTAACACTCAGTTCGGGTAGACGACACGATCTCTCCGAGCCGGGTTGTAAATGGAGCCGCACCTCACATCTTGACTCTCTGTTCGTGGTGCGCACAATAGCGGTTGTGTCACTTCAGTAACAATACGTGCGATACCGTCGCACAATCCGGCCAACTTTACGACCTGCAAATCGGACTCTTGTGCAATCCGGCCTGTAAATCGGCCACCAAATCTGTCAGATTTCAACACCTTGTAAATGTGGCTGGATGGTGGCCGGTTTAGCATTCGACCATTCAGTCGACTTTGGCGAAAATGTGAGTCGACCAAAAGGGCGACAAATTTGCAGCCAAACTTGCAGCCAAATCACTTTGTAGCGGATCTGACGCACCCTTAGGTGTCTAAAAATTGGTCGCTGTGCTTCGCTGTCGGTTCTACCAGGTTCAGTCGTCGTGATGGGTGCCAATTTCGACATATCACGCCAATTCCGCATGTCGCGCCCCCGTTTTGCCATGTCACGCCGCCATTTCGATACGTCGCGTCGCCATTCCACCATTGCTCGCCGCCATTTCGCCACGTCACGCAGCAGTAGGATTCGTGCAGGCAACGGTAAGTCGCACTTGCGTCGCTTGCATTTCTCGAGAATGCACTACCTGCATGCTCTTCCCTCTTCTGCCTGGAAGTAAGAGCGGTGTTACTACCATAACGGGCCGCGCGCGCGTCTAGTGCTACGGCGCGCTGACTGGGAGCCGTGGCTTGCCACGGTCAAGTGGCTGTCGGCTCCTTGAGTCACCGAGACCTGATGGCGTGGCATATGGCGGGGCCAAACCCGTGGTTTAGTTTGGCGCTTGGACGCAAAGGAGGATGACCGTAGCGCAGCTCGTCCGCGTGCTCGCCGCGTCCTGCCGTGGCGCCACTCGGAACGGCGAGCACGCAGCGGCGTTTCACGCGTACCTTAGTAGGATTGGCGTCATTGTAGCGGCGGCGGCGGGCTTTCCCAGTGGCATGACAGCGAGCACGAGAGAGCTCATTCCCCCACGCAGAGCGCACTACGGACCTGGCGGCACACGATGCCTAGGGGGGCTGCGTCGGTGGGGAAGCTAAGTGCCGTGAAGCCGCCCCTACAGACGTGCCGCGTATGTGCGTGTGCCTCGTCACTTGGGGAGCGCATCGTTGCTTTGTGCATCGTCGCTCAGTGCATCGTCACACTGTGTATCGTTGCTCAGTGCATCGTCACACTGTGTATCGTTGCTCAGTGCATCGTCACACTGTGTATCGTTGCTGAGTGCATCGTCACACTGTGTATCGTTGCTCAGTGCATCGTCACACTGTGTATCGTTGCTCAGTGCATCGTCACACTGTGTAACGTCTCGCAGTGTATCATGGCGCAGAGCGACTGAGTCAGCCCCATATGCACACCCCCCAACACTCGAACTATCCTTGTCGTTGAATACAAGTGGTACAGCAAAGTCAAGCTTAAAGAACTAAGGTAAGATTTCATCAGCCAACCTAAGCAAGGAAAAAGCCCTGACAGGTATATGCCACGAGGGGGTGCATATGAGGGAAGGAAATGAAAAGGAGGGGGAGGGGGGGGGGGGGAGGGGGAAGATGAGGGTATAGTCATGGGGAGTGGGTTGCTCTCCCTCTCCTGCATCCCGTCCCTCTCCTTCTGCCTCGCTTCTGCCTTCCCCTCCCCTCTCCCGGTTTCATTCCCTCCACTCCCCCTTCCCTTTCGTCCCCCCTGCCGTTCTTACCAAATGCAGACCCATCTCCTGCTCCCACTTCTCCCACTGCTGCTGCTCACTTGCTTCTGCCAGCTGCACGCTGGTGGTGGCGCGGCAAATACAGGCAGCAGACTGTGAGTGTGCCCGGGCGGGCGGGCGGGCGTAAAGCGGCGGTATGGGGAGGTGACATGCAGGGGTGATGCGCGGTGATGCGAGATTGTCCAATGCCACTGTGACTCTCTCTCACCACGTTCCGCAGAAGCGCTCTAGCCGCTGCGCATGTCCTGCAACGACCAATCGCTCTCCTCCTGAACGCACAGCTCACCTCAACTTCCTCGTTCCAACTCTCCTTGCCCCCTCTTTGCCTCTCCATGCCCCCCTTCCTATGCTACTACCCTGTTATCACCCCGCCTTCCCTCCTTTCCCTCCCTTTCCTCCTTCCACTCCCTCGTCTCATCCCCTCTCCCAACAGCCCTCACTCATCTGTCGTACAACCCTCTTCCGGTCCCTGCGTGCCCCCATGCCCCTCCCCGCGTTGCTTCCCTCCCCCCACACTCCACCGTGCCCGCTGACCTCCGTGAGCCCGCGACTGCACCCCCTGCGTCCAACCCTCTCCTACCTTCGCTGGCAGTCAAGATGTTTTGCACGTGCTGGCAGCGTGGGGGCAGCTTGGGGGCGGCTGGCAGGCGTGGTCGGCCAGCAGCGACTGCTCCACCGTGCAGGGCGTCGCATGCGACGCTCGCAGGCAACGTCGTCTCCCTGGTACGTGAGGCACGTGAGTGCTGCTCCAGCGCATGTGAGTGCTGCTCCAGCGCATGTGAGTGCTGCTCCAGCGCATGTGAGTGCTGCTCCAGCGCATGTGAGTGCTGCTCCAGCGCATGTGAGTGCTGCTCCAGCGCATGTGAGTGCTGCTCCAGCGCATGTGAGTGCTGCTCCAGCGCATGTGAGTGCTGCTCCAGCGCATGTGAGTGCTGCTCCAGCGCATGTGAGTGCTGCTCCAGCGCATGTGAGTGCTGCTCCAGCGCATGTGAGTGCTGCTCCAGCGCATGTGAGTGCTGCTCCAGCGCATGTGAGTGCTGCTCCAGCGCATGTGAGTGCTGCTCCAGCGCATGTGAGTGCTGCTCCAGCGCATGTGAGTGCTGCTCCAGCGCATGTGAGTGCTGCTCCAGCGCATGTGAGTGCTGCTCCAGCAGGTCGTCGTCGACCTCGTCGTACACCGTGGTGAAGGCAGCTGGCGGTAGGCAGGCGTGGAAGCTCAACCGCTCCGGCGGCCGTCGGGCTCGACATGTGCGTCGCAGCTTGGGCTTCGTGATCGGCACTTCCATCACGTCGCTGTCGGTGGACTCCTCACCCGCCGACTGCTTCCCTTTCTCGTCGACGAGAACGTCATCGACCAGCTGCTTCGACCCTTCGACCGGCTGTTTTTCTGCTGCTACCTTCGACAACTCTCCTGTCGACCGCTCCGGCGGCCACTCCCCTGTCGAGTGTACCTCTGCCGATGCCTCCTGTTCGAACGGCTCCCCTGTCAGGTGCTCCCCTGTCGTCGACGACTCCCTATCGTAGTCGACGAGCTTGGCGCCTTGTCATCCGCTGGCGATGCCACTGGCCGGCGCCACAGGCGACGCCTCCAGGCTCCCCTCATCGTCGGTGGCCGACACAGGTGTCGGCGCAGGCAGATCGGCGACGGGAGACGGAGGAGCAAGAACAGGGGGAGGTGGAAAAACCTCCACAACATCTTCATCAGCAGGCTCGTCGACTTCGGCGAGCAGGGGAACCGTCGCCGTCGAGGTGTCCGTCGGCGGGTGCGCCTGCGCCCGCTCTGACGCCGGCCCATACTTCGCCTTCCACACCTCCAGCGACAGCGTCTCGTAGAAGATCACCTCGACCGACGTGACCACCTTGTTGTCGGTCAGGTCGAGCACCTCCCAGCCCTTGCTCTCCGGCGACACACCCAGGTGAAGCCCCCAACGAGCCTTCGGCGCCAGCTTTCCACCTCGTTGCTGCTCGGGAACCATGAACTGCACCATGCAGCCCCACACCCGTGCTAGCGTAAGGTCGGGCCTCTGCCCGGTCAGCAGCTGGTACGGAGTCGTTCCCGGCGGCGTCGTCGACCGCTCCAAGCAGTTGCGCACCCAGACCGCTTGTCGTAGAGCAAGGTGCCACCAGTGGTGCGGCACGCCCATGTGCAGTAGCATCGTCCGCACGGACTCGACGACCGTGCGCATCTCCCGCTCAGCCATGCCATTCTGCTGCGGAGTGTAGGGGCACGTCAGGTCGTGGACGATGCCCTTCCCGTCGACGAAGTTGGTGAACGCCTTCCCGAGGAACTCCCCTCCTCGATCGGAGCGAAGCGACAGCACTTCTTCGTCTGCCGTTCCACCAGCACTAGCCACTGCTGGAACTCCCGCAGCACATCGCTCTTCTTGGCGACCGGCATTGCCCATACAAATCTAGTATGGCGATCCTTTAACAGCAGGAAGTACAAGCTGCCATCCTTGGCAGCCACTCGAAATGGCCCGCACAAGTCAATGTGCACGACAGCCAGCGCCTCCGCTGCATCCGAGCCTTTGGCAGGGAAGGTGTGCCGCGCCAGCTTTCCTCCGACGCACGAGACACATGGCGGGTCTGCTCCGGTTGACAACGTGATGTCGAGCCCAGTAGCAACATCATGCTTCGCCAAGCTCTTGATCGTGTCGACGCTGACGTGGGCAAGCCGCGCATGCATCCTATCGGGGGTCGTCTTCGTCGCCGAGACGATCGTCCGTAGAGCCACCACCTCGGTCGACTGCGACTGCGTCGAGCAGGGGCGAAGGTCGGTGCAGAGGACTCGTCCGGTGTAGCGCGCTCGACCGAGCACCTCTCCAGTCGCGGCAACGAGCAGCATCTCATCGCCATCGCCCTGCAGTAGCACGCCGCTCTCCTTCAGCTGGCCAGCAGACAACAGGTTTGCCTGTACGCCCGGAACGTAGAGTACGTCGGGGATGAGAACCCGCTTCCCGGCCTCCCCTTGCAGAGCGACGGTTCCGCGACCCTCGACAGGCTGCAATGCCCCGTTGAACCCACGCACGTGCTTCACCCCATCGCTCGGCCCCATTTCAACGAAGACCGATTTCGTCCCCATCAGGTGGTGGGAGCACCCGCTGTCGAGCAGCACCGCCATCGGGTTGGCCTGCACAGCTGCTGCCATCGCCTGGAAGTCCTCGCCAGCCTCCGGTGCTAGCGAGACCGTCACCTCCACCACGTCGACCATCGAGCACGACGCCTCCCCGTCGCCTTCGCTCTTGCCGCTGGAGCTGTCGACGTCCTTCGTCGAGGACGTTTTCTTCGACGCTTGCTTCTCCTTGCGTGGCTTCTCAACTCGACGGGGGCGACGACTGGCCGATCGACCGCGGCCTTCCTTGTTGTCGTCCTCGTCGCTGTCATCGCGGTCGGGGCACTCGAAGGAGAGATGGTCGGGGTCGCCGCAGACCCAACACTCCCGCCGTCGACCACCACCTCGTCGACCCTTGTCCCGCGTCGACCTCATCTCGTCGACGTCCTTCGTCGACCGCCCACCTCCGCTACCACTTCCGCCCGACTTCCCGCGCTGCTCCCGATGTGTATTCGGCTTCGTCGGTGCAGCGTAACTCGCTTGCGGAAGGAACTCCGTGGGCTGCTCTGCCTCCTGCATCGCCTCATCCTGGAGAATGTAGCTGGTGATGGAGTCCTCGTCGAGGGACTCACGCGTGCCAGGCACCATCATCATCCTCTTCATGAGATTGTAGCTGCGCGGTAAGCCCTTGACGATGTGGGTGATGTAGGACGCCGTCGAGTATTCGGCGCCCGCCATTCGCATTTCGGCCAAGATCCGTCGAGCACGGTTGCAGTAATCCGTCGCCGACTCCTGCTCGCCCATCCGAATGTGAGTCATCTTCTCCTCCAGCTGCCCGATGTACAGGTCGTCCCTGACTTGGTACGTCGACATGATGAAGCGCCATGCCTGGTGACAAGCATCCAGTCGCTCTCGACAACTCCTCAGCGCTAGCTGCACCACCGGCGAGCAGCACCTCGAGATGACCATGAAGGTGAGCAAGTGAGCAGAGCGAAACTCACCACGCAACTCGACATCCTCCTCAGGCGGAAAGGGCACGGTGCCATCGGCGAAGCCCTTCAGCCCGGCAACCTCTAGCTGAGGTTCAATCGACTCCCTCCAGGTGATGAGGTCTCGTCGACCTTGCAACGGTGCGACGTCGATCCGGTCTGGCGAGAACTTGAAATAGCCATACGCCGGTGCAATTCCGCCCGCCGTAACGTGTGTCGTCACCGAGAGCCCTCCACCGCTTCGTAAGGGAGAGCGGCGTCGAACATCGACGTTGGCACGCGAGCTGCCTGCAGCCGCCGTCGACCGCTGCACTCGCGCCTGGATTCCATCGACACCACCGTCGACCTTGATCACTCCTCTCTGTCTCGTGCCTTCGCTGCCGCTGACTCGTGCACCACCGTCGACCTCGTCGTTGACGCCACCTTCATTGCGCACCGGTCTAGGAGAAGCAGGACGGGAAGGGTGTTCGGCGGCGGCGTCGACCCGGCGGCTCGTGCGGCTCAGGTGGCGCTGCGGCTCGGGTGGCTTGGGTGGCTTGGGCGGCTCGGTTGGCTCGGGCAGCTCGGTAGCAGGTTGGCGGCGCCGGCGGCTCGGTGGTGATGGCGGGGCCGCTTGGGGACGGCGGCGGGGCCGGGTGGAGCGGCGACGGGGCCAGTAGAGGTGGCGCCGGGGCCGCAGGGTAGGTGACGGGGCCAGCAGAGGCGGCGCCGGGGCCGGGAAGGGCGGCGCCAGGGCCGCAGAGGTAGGCGATGGGGCCAGTAGAGGCGGCGCCGGGGCCGGTAAGGGCGGCGTCGGGGCCAGCAGAGATGGCGCCGGGGCCGGGAAGGGCAGCGCCGGGGCCGCAGGGGTAGGCGACGGGGACAGCAGAGGCGGGGCCGGGTCGGGAAGGGTGGCGTCGGGGTCGCCGGGGTAGGCGACGGGGCCAGCCGAGGTGGCGTCGGGGCCAGGAAGGGCAGAGCCGGGGCCGCAGGGGCAGGCGACGGGGTCAGCAGAGGCGGGGCCGGGCCGGGAAGGGCGGCGTCGTGGTCACCGGGGTAGGCGACGGGGCCAGCCGAGGTGGCGCCGGGGCCAGGAAGGGCAGAGCCGGGGCCGCAGGGGTAGGCGACGGGGCCAGCAGAGGCGGGGCCGGGTCGGGAAGGGCGGCGTCGGGGTCGCCGGGGTAGGCGACGGGGCCAGCCGAGGTGGCGCCGGGGCTAGGAAGGGCAGAGGCGGGGCCGCAAGGGCAGGCGACGGGGCCAGCAGAGGAGGGGCCGGGTCGGGAAGGGCGGCGCGACGCGGCCGCTAGGGCGACGCGACGAGATGGGGCCGCGACGGGGCAGCGAGGGGTCGCACGCCTGGAAGGAACGGGGCCGCGCGCCTCGGGGCGCGCGCCAGAGGGAAGGAACGGCGCGCGGCGAGATGAAAAATAGGTTGCACGTCACGGGGCGTGCGACAGATCGAGTAGCAGTGGAAGCAGTAGTAGGGCCCACAGGCCAGGAGCATATTGTTGGTGTTAGGCCCCAATCTCACATTTTGTACTTGTACTTTTATATCCTAGTTTAGTGTAGTTTGCACTTTGTGTTTGGTTGGGTGTACACCCACATCCCAACCAAACCCAAATGTAATCTCCAAGCAATCTCCAACCCACCAATTGGAGATTGCCTTGGGATTACCCTTGATTCCCTAGGATTGCCTCCTGATTCCCTCCTCATCCCTACCTTGCTCATTCCGGATGTACTTAAAGAGCTTTGAGCTCACTACTATAGTATCGATTCTAAGCTCAAGTTCTGACATGGTATCAGAGCAGCTCAACCGCATACGCGGATCGTGATCCTCTCATCTCTGCGGATACTTGTCCCGCAAACCTCGGGGAAGCCATCGCCAATCTCGTCGCCGTTGATTCGCGACATTCATCGGCGGAATTTCTCCCGCCACATCTTCCCGTCACCATCGACGGAAACTTCTCTGGTAAGCGCATCGTCGGCGCTCTAACCTAACACTCGTTTTCATCAATTCGTCACTCTCGTCACTTCTTCTCCTCGTCGGGCCGCCGCCCGTCGCCCTGCAGCTTCTCGTCGGGCCGCCGCTCGTCGCCCTGCAGCTTCTCTTCGGGCTGCCGCCCGTCGCCCTGCAGCTTCTCGTCGGGCCGCCGCCCGTCGCCCCGCAGCGTCATCTTCGGGCTGCCGCCCGTCGCCCCGCATCTGCACTCCTACCCCCATCCCCCCTCTTTCCCGCAGCTGAACAGGTGCAGCAACGCAGCCGAGCAGCAGCGTAGCCGCGAAGCCGAGCAGCCGTGTAGCCGCGAAGCCGAGCAGCAGCGTAGCCGCGAAGCTGAGGGTGGTGTGTGGGGGGGTGTGTGGGAATAGGATTAGTAGGTAGTTGACACTAAATTGGCGTCTCAGTCAAATTCTCCTTCAGAAACCCTAAACCTCAATATTCTCTTTCGTAAACCCTAAACCTCCGGTTCTTCAAAATCTCCTTTGGAAACCCCAAACCTCAAGTTCCTATCGGTGACTTAAGAGCGGCGCTCCGCGCGAGAAGTTAAGGGGTCTCCACCATGGCTTTCTCGTCTTCCACCATGGCGAACCCCATCACCCCGCTCCGCCTTGAAGCCGATGGCTCTAGCTCCAACTTCAAGGCGTGGAGCTACGGAGTTGACAAGCACCTCCTGAGCCGTGACGTGCAGGGCCTTGACCTCAAGGACGTCCTCCTCAACCGTGGCAAGGGGAAACAACCCACTCTTCCCCGTGAACCGACCGAATCTTCAAGTGATGCTGATGTGATGACGTACGAAGAAGCTGTTGAGAAGTACCGGAAGTGGGAGAAGGCCGATGCTGCCATCATCAGCGTCTTCATTGCCTCCACCCCTCCCGAACTTGTCAACACGTTCCACAACTACCCTACCTCCAACGCCATCTGGAAGTATCTCCAGGATCGGTTCATGAACAAGACGGCGGTCGGAGTGGCGATTCTCATCCCCAGCATGTTTCAAGTCCATCTTGAGGACTGCTCAGGAATGGCTGACTACATCGCCAAGGTGCAGACCATTCATGGTGAACTCAAGGAGCAAGGTATAGTCTTCCCCGAACAAGCCCCTGCAGCCGCCCTTCTTGTTGGTCTCTCCTCGGCATATGAAGTCACGAGGAAGATGCTCCTCACGCTCTCAGCGGAAGACCTCACCTTTGCTAAGGTCTCCACCGCACTCCTCTCTGCCGAGAAAGACTCCACGGCTCAGGCCAAGGCATACGCCATCCGTGTTCCCATGCCCCTAGCAAGTGTTGCAGCGGCCCTTGCCTCGGCGCCTTTCCAGCGCAACCGCTTTCCTCCGTGCACCTACGTCGTCAAGTATGGCAACCGCAAGGGACAAGTGTGTGGTGGCACTAACCACCCCCTTGCCACGTGCTTCAAGAAGAAAGACGACGAGTGGTATGCCATCCACGGGGTTGACAAGAAGCCGCCAAACTGGATGCGCGCTCGTAAGGCCAATCTCGTTGAGGTCCAGGACCCCTCTTCGGCTAGTGCTAGTGATAGTGCTCCTGTTGATGTGCGTATCAACCTGTTGTTTCCTGGCACTGCCATGATTAATGAAGCCACTTCCCAGTACATCGACTCATCACAGGCACCACAGTACATAGAGTTCACACTCGACAGCGGGGCCACTCACACTGTGCTCAAGGAGACACTCTCCTTCAAACCCTATCCAGCACCTATCCCTCTCTTGGGAGCTGACTCCAGCTTCACCACCCTAGCCAAGGGCACCTCCACAGTCCCATGCCCAGCCTTCCCTTCCGGCACCGTCACTGGCATGTGCGTGCCTTCACTACGCCACAATCTAGTGGCTCAAGCAGAAATTCAGAAAGCAGGGCTACGCACCATCTTCTCGGAGAATGAGGACCACTGCGACATCATTGACCCACTCACCAACAAGGTCTTGGCCCGCTTCACCCTCAATAGCAGCGGCCTCTACACGCTACGCGTTCCTCTCCCACAGGTTTCAACCACCCAAGCACAGGCTCCCATCACACCATGCACATGTCGCAGCCTCTCCAACCCGACCATCCTCTATCATCATCGGTTAGGGCACCCAAACTTCCGCACGCTTGCTGACATGGCCTCCAAGAAACTTCTTCTCGGCCTGCCAGCCACACTTCCTCCACCACCTGACTCACCCGCTCCCACGTGCCTTGATTGCACCAAGAGCAAACTGCGCCAACAGCCCCACACTGCCTCACCCACAATCGCAGCGGCACCACTGGACCTAGTGCACATGGACGTCTGGGGCCCTGCCCCTGTTCTTGCACGAGGTGGATATCGCTACTTCCTAGTTATCGTGGATGACCACTCACGATACGTCTCTGTTCACCTCCTCCACACTCAGGCTGAGGCTCCAGAGGTCATCATGGCGTGGGTCAAGCAGGCACAGACCACCTTTGACCGCAAGGTCAAGCGCCTTCACTCGGATGGGGGGGGTGAATTTTGCAACGACAAGCTCAAAGCCTTCTGCTCCTCCGAAGGCATCCAGCAAAACTTCACCCTCCCTGACAGCCCTCAACAGAACGGCATAGCTGAGAGCCGCAACCACACCCTAGTGCAGATCACTCGGTGCCTCCTCAGCCACTCCAACGCTCCACACTCTCTCTGGGGATACGCTCTCTACCACGCCGCCCTCCTCTACAACCTTTACCCCCATCCGCACCTTCCCGACACCACTCCAACCACACTCTGGCTCGGGAAAACGCCCACTGCTCGCTCTCTTCGCGTTTGGGGATGCACCGCCTATGTCCTCCTCAACCCTCAGGCTCGACGCCAGAACGGTGGCAAGCTTGGTCCCAAGACTCAAACGTGCATCTACCTTGGGCACAACGCCGACTCACCTGACTACCTCTTCCTCAATCCCTCCACTCAACAGTTGGTCAGGAGCCGCGACGTTGTCTTTGATGAGACCCGCCCATTCTACTCCCCTTCAGGACGGGACCCTCTCCCTGATCCACCCTCCCTCGTGTGGGCAGACTTTGACGCGCCTCCCGACCTCCCGCCTGCTCCTGCCCCCTCACCTCCTCTCTCTCCTGCCATCCCACCATCTCCCTCTGAGGTCTCTGACCCGGCCTCACCGGTGTCTTCGGCAGCTGCTCCGCCCCCCCCCCTCACCTTCCTCACTACCCGTTGCACCGCCCCCTCCGAGCGCACCTATCACCTACCATCGGCGGTCCCACCCTCCGGCCCCACCTCCTCCCCCAGTTCCCCCCACCACAGAGGAACCCGCTCTCCCACAGTCGCCCGAGCTGATCACGTACCGCCGGCGGCCCATTCCCCCACCCAAGCCTCCTAAGTCACCCTCTCCGACACCGCCTGCCCCACCCTCCTCACCGGTGGCTCATGGCACCCGCTCCCATCGCGCTGCTCTTCCACTCGCAATGGTTCTTCGATACACAACGATCACACCGCCTCCTCCTGCTAGGGGGGATGTGCCCTCTACCCTTCTAGAAGACAGGCATGAGGAGCTGTGTGATCTCCATGCAGTCATTCCTCAGCTCTCACACATCTTCCCCGATATCACTGGCTCACCCTCCCTCAACCTCGCGGAGAACCCGACCATCCCTATCCCTCTCACCATCCAAGAGGCTCTCTCAGGCCCTCATGCTGCCGAATGGCGTGCTGCCATGGACGCGGAGATTGCAGCATTCACTTGCAACCACTCCTTCGACGACGAGACTCCACCTCCAGGAGTCAACATCGTCGGGGGCAAGTGGTTGTTCCGTGTAAAACAGCTCCCAGACGAGGCACCGGTGTTCAAAGCGCGTTACGTAGCCAAGGGCTTCACCCAGCAGCGGTACCGCAACTTCGACCTAATCTTCTCCCCCACATCCAAACCTCCCACCATTCGAACGCTCATGGATGTTGCAGCTCGAGAAGACTTTGAGATCAAATCCATGGATGCCTCCTCCGCCTTCCTACAAGGACGTCTCAAGGAGACAGTGTTCATGGACAGACCAGAAGGCTTCCCAGGAGAATTCCCTCCCAACACTGTCTGGAAGCTGAATCGCCCCGTCTACGGCCTTAAACAAGCCCCTCGCGAATGGCACAACAAGGTGAAAGAAGTCCTCCTCTCCCTGGACTTCCACCCCTCAACTGCTGACCCGACTCTCTTCATCCGTCGTCATTCTGAGCCATTCTACATCCTAGTCTACGTGGATGATTTTATCCTCGTTGCCAAGGACTCGGCCCAAATGACCTCAGTCCAGGCAGCCCTGAGCAAGGCCCTCCAGATGAAAGACCTCGGTGACCTCAAGCACTACCTGGGAATGGAGATCACTCGTGATCGCAAGGCTCGCACCATCTCACTCTCCCAGGAGTTCTACATCGACAATGTGCTCAAGCGGTTTGAGATGGAGCTGTGCACACCTGTTGCCACCCCGCTGCCGCTGCAACACCTCCTTACAGCTCCTGCTGTACCCACACCAGAGGCCTGCTCTGAGCCATACCCGGAACTTGTTGGGTCCCTCATGTACGCCATGATGTGCACCCGACCGGACTTGGCCTACCCAGTCAGTGTTCTCTCTCGTTACGTGGCCCCGGGTCGCTTCACTAATCTTCATTGGAAGGCAGCAAAGCGGGTGCTGCGCTATCTTAAGGGCACAAAGTCCCACGTTCTCACACTCGGTGGGCTCTCCCCTCCTCGCCTGGAAGGTTACACGGACTCCTCCTGGGCTGATGACCAGACCGACCGACGCTCCTCTCAGGGGTACTGCTTCACCCTCGGGAGCGGAACTGTCAGTTGGCGCTCCACCAGGTCGTCTGCAGTCTCCCTCTCCTCCTGTGAGGCGGAGCTCTACGCAGGCACCATGGCTGCTCAGGAGGCCCGTTGGCTCACCTTCCTACTCCAGGAGCTTGGCTTCCCTCAGTCAGCCCCCACCCTCTGGTGTGACAACCAGAGTACCATCCACATCTCTCAAGACCCTGTGTATCACACCCGCACCAAGCATATTGAACTTCGGCACTTCTTCATTCGTCACCTTGTGCAACAAGAGCAGCTGAAGGTGGAATACGTGGCATCTGACTGCAACCTGGCTGACCTGTTCACCAAGCCCCTTGGGAAGGTTCCCCACCATCGTCTCCTTGGCGCCATGGGGCTCTGCGCTCCTCCTTCTCCGCCATGAGTTCGATTGACGCCTCAGGGGGGGTGTTGGTGTTAGGCCCCAATCTCACATTTTGTACTTGTACTTTTATATCCTAGTTTAGTGTAGTTTGCACTTTGTGTTTGGTTGGGTGTACACCCACATCCCAACCAAACCCAAATGTAATCTCCAAGCAATCTCCAACCCACCAATTGGAGATTGCCTTGGGATTACCCTTGATTCCCTAGGATTGCCTCCTGATTCCCTCCTCATCCCTACCTTGCTCATTCCGGATGTACTTAAAGAGCTTTGAGCTCACTACTATAGTATCGATTCTAAGCTCAAGTTCTGACACATATGTGCTCTGAAACCATGTGAGAATGAACGAGAATGAATGCACTATGAAAGAGTTGGGTACAAGTACTAACCCTTATTGGGTTGTACCCCATATAGGCTACCCCACTACAGCCTACACAAAAGCATAAGCTATAATGTTCTGACACTCGCAATCAAACGGTCACGTCAACAGGTGACGGCCACGTGAAATGTCACGGTAAGAGCATCTCGATGACTGTGAACATCAGCCCAACCACGGTATAAGTCTCCAACGAGAATCGTAGCATCACATAGTTTTCAGTAGGCCTAGGTTTTGGGAGGAATGGTAGCTTACGTTTTACTGTGATGGAGACCGATCTGTCGACGACAGCGCCTTCCCGGCAGGCGGACCTAGGATCGATTCCTGTCGACATAGGGTACACCTCGACACCACCCCCTTCGACGACTGCAGCCAGGCCGACGTCCACAGCGCCTCCTTCGACAAGCCGAGTTATAACGGTCGTGACAGGAACCGCCTCGACGTCGAGACCCATACCGGTAGTGCAACAGCCGGTTGTTACGGACCAGCGTTCGACGGGCATTGCGGTCACTGTCGAAGTGGGTGGTGCACAGACCGAATTCCCTTCGACAGGTCAATCCATCCCGGTTGTGGTAGAACCCATCTCGACAACACCTCCATCCATTGCACGCGAGGCTCCAACTCACCGTGCACCATCGTCGACAGCCAATCGCTCGACAGAACCTTCGGCTGGTGCACCGACCTCGACAGGTGGGCGACGTGGGAGAGCGAGGGTTGTTCCGCCTGAGGTTCGACAACCACCCCCAGCCGGCACATCCGCAGCTCGAGCTAAGCCAGCCGCTCCTAGGCGGACTTCGACGAGACCAAGCAGAGAGGACTTAGCCAGGAACGTCCCTGAAGCGACGGACGATGAGGATGTTCGGACGGGAGAACAGCAGCAGGCAGATGATGTCGAACCGCCGGACCCTCTGCGGCCTGCCGCCGCAAATATATCAGAGGAGGATGCCGCGCACATTCTCGGCGACCAACAGGGCGCACCCAATCCGTACTTGGCGACGGGAACAATAGAGAGCAGGATTCTCCGTTGCGAGGTTCCGCTGCTGGGAGTTGACCAGGATTCCACACGGCCGAACTATGTCTATGGGAGCATGCACTACAAAGCTTGGGCCTGTTTAACTCTGGCGCCCGGAAGAAACAACGGAGTGCCTGGAGAGGAGCAGGTGATCCACCAGGACGAGATCGGTAGGGAGATCGGCGACGATATGGGGTCGAGATGGAGGGAGGCGCTCCGTAACGAGGAGCAGCTGCACGGGCCGAAAATTACGAAATGGCGCTTGCGCGCTTATGTCGAATACATGTCGACAGAAACCGACACACAGGCGGCATCCTTGGATACAGGTCGGACCAGAGTCGCGGGAAAGAAGCCAAAAAAATGCACCCCTCCGATGATGCTGGCGCGCCTTACTGCGCTAACGTGCTTTTGCAAAGTACAGGCCATACTCTTCGACGAGCCACTAACGAAACCCTTGGACGACATCACCGAGGCTCGGCAGCCTCTTGCAGTCAAGCTGCGACAGCAGCACGACTATCAGTTCGAGTAAGTAGGCTGCCATACACCGGTGACTAAAACTTCTCACTCTTGTTCTCACCCATTAATCGCTCTATTTGCCCACACAATGCAGGCAGTGCGTCGATCCACACCGGGGCTCGCTGGACGATGTTTACACGGAGGAGCAGTTCCGCATTCTCATTTCAGACATCCTGCCGTCCTGGGCCATAGAGTACTTTCGGGAGTCGATGGGTTTCCCCAGCCAGTGGCTGTGGAGGGCCTTGGCCGTGAGGGTGACGATCCTGATGGCGCATCACATGCTGGGCAGGGGGATAAGCATCCGCGAGATCCGCTACTGCAATATGTTCACTCACGTCCTTCCGCCCATCACGAACAGCAAGGGGGAATCGTCGATCCACGTCCTCGTGGTCGCCTATCGCAACTCGAAGACCATCAAAGACAACAAGCTCGGCCACGTGTACCTGACTCGACACATGAACTTCCGGCAGTGCGGCTTCGGAGCAGTGTTCATGTGGATACATTTCCTTTTCGACCTTGTGCCGCTCCAATACGGGAACGATAAGATCGTGCCCCCCTTGGATTTCAGCAACCCGGAAAACTGGTCGAAGAAGCACCTGTTCCTCGCCCTCTTCGACAAGGACAAGACCGAGTTGCTGTACGCAACTCATGCGAAATGGGTGCTCTGGGCGATGAATAGCGCGGAGTGGATCCTGTCGAAAGTCACTCACATCTTTCGACGGTCTGCGGCACAGATCCTCGCCGACAAAAACTGTGAACTCGACAACATCGCGCAGCTGGGTCAATGGGACATGAACGAGATGCGCAGGTCATACGTCACAGGCATCCCGCGCGGGGCCATCCAGCTGCAAGCGGGGTTCATGACGGAACCGGGTGACTAATACATCGGAAGATCAAAAAGCGAAGTACCCGAGAAGGTCCTGAAGGCCATTGAGAAGCACATCTTTCCGAAGGCAGAGCAGTGGCTCCAAGAGGTATGGATGTGTGAAACAATGAGAAGAGGAATGAAATGACTAAGTCAGAAATTGGTACAAATAACAAACCCTAGGAATCTGTACCCCATATGTGCTACCCCACTACAGCCTACAAACATGTATCAGCTATAATGTTCTGACACACCCCCATAGGCAAAGTGGGGGAGAACAAGGGGTCACAAGACCAGTCAAACAAAGCAAAGCAAGCTCAGGGTGGATCACAAAGTCACCACACAGTCCGAGCACAAGAGCAGGGCCAGAGGCCAGTTCACATGCAGGAGTACAGACATATATATATTACTAGACAAGCAAGAGCACGTATATATATATATCACAGTACAAGTGAAGTCAGGAAGAGAGCAAGTGAGGCAAGACAGGCACAAGACCCAGCTGGGTACAGAAGCGCTGATGGTCACAAGGCGCGAGTGCCTTGGTGAACACATCAGCAGTGTTGGCCTCAGAGGCCACGTACGCAAGTCGCAGCTGACCACGCTGCTGCAGCTCACGAGCAAGGAAGTAGCGGAGAGCAATGTGCTTCGTTCTGTGCTCCAGACGCTGCTCTCGACACAAGGCCAGCATGGCCTTGTTGTCTACGTACAGCACTGGAGGAGAACGAGGCGGCTCTCCAAGGTCAGTCAGCAGGTAGGTGAGCCAGCGAAGCTCCTGCGCAGCCATGGCCCCGGCGTAGATCTCAGCCTCACAACTGGAGCCGAGAACCGAAGACGAGCGAGTAGACCGCCACGAGACAGAGCCGGAACCAAGGCTTAAGGTGTAACCCTGTGACGACCGCTGCGTAGCCTGGTCGTCAGCCCAAGAAGCGTCCGCGTGGCCCGTAAGGACCACTGGACTCCGCCCTCCAAGCACTAGCCCCATGCCCGACGTACTGCACAGGTAGCGCAATACCCTCTTCGCTGCAGCCATGTGCTCAGGTCGGTGTCTCCCAGGAGCAACATAGCGTGCAAGGATGCTCAGAGGGTATGCAAGGTCAGGTCGTGTGCAGGTCATCAGGTACATGAGGCAGCCAACAAGCTCTGCATACGGGCCACTCGACTCTACGGACTCATCCGAAGGCAGAGCTGAGAGCGAGTGGCGAGTAGGCAGAGGAGTGGCCTGAGGCGAGGAGTACGTGAAGCCGAAGCGCTGAAGGACCTGCTGCACCATGTGTGACTGAGTCAGGGTAATGGTGCGGCGTGCTCTGTCCCGAGTGATCTGCAAGCCAAGGTAGCTGCGCAGTTCACCCAGGTCTGTGCACGTGTGTCTCTTCAGCAGCTCGGACTTCACGTAGGCGAGTCCAGCAGTGTCCGCTGTGGCAAAGACCAAGTCGTCGACGTACACGAGGATGTAGAACGGCGGCAAGGAAGTGTCGGTGCGAAGAAACAGCGACGGGTGAGCAGTGGAAGGAGCAAACCCAAGAGCCGCAAGCGTAGTCCTCAGTGTGTCGTGCCACTCACGCGGTGCCTGGCGGAGACCGTAGACTGGCCGTCGGAGGCTCCACTGGGTGCCAGGAGGGAAAGTCCCAGTGAAGCCAGGCGGACGGCGCAGCCAGATCTCCTCGTGCAGGCTACCCTGCAGGAACGCAGTGCTGAAGTCGAGAGAGTGAAGCTCGTAGTCGCGCTGAGCGGCAACGTGCAGCAGCACGCGAAGAGTAGTCATCTTCGGGGTGGGAGAGAAGGTCTGAAAGTAGTCAACTCCCTGCCGCTGACTGAAGCCACGAGCGACGTAACGCGCCTTGAAGACAGGCGGAGAGCCCGGCGGCCGCTTCACCCTGAAGATCCACATGCCACTGACGATGTTCGCCCCAGGAGGGGGAACTGCGTCAACGTAGGTGCCTGTGGACTTCCAGGAAGCCATCTCTGCATCCATAGCTGCCTGCCACTGAGAGGAGTAGGGACCCTCTACAGCCTCCGCGTAAGAACGCGGAGTCGGGATGTCTAGTGCATCCGGGTCTCCCTCAGGGGCAAGCAGTACAGACGCGAGATGAGGTGAAGCAGCCGCTAGACACTGTAACTCCTCCTGCCTGTCCTCTAGGACGTCCGTGCCAAGAGCACACTCACCCCCGACGGACGGAGGACAGACAGACGCAGACTCAGCAACAAGACTAGCAGCGTAGTCTAAGCGACAGCGAGCAGCAAAGTCGACAAGCTCAGTGAGTAGGGCAGACGCAGCAGAAGACTCGAAAGAAGGGTCAGTGACCACAGTAGCAAGGAAACGCGTGACAGTAGGACTGGCAGCACGCAGAGAGTCCGACGCAGGGTCGGCAAGCGCAGGAAGAGAGGACGCAGGAGGAGAAGGCAAAGGGGCACGCAGAGGAGCAGTGGACGGACGCAAAGACATCTGGTGCGTGCCAGGGACAGGAGGAGGACGCTGACGCGAACCGCGACCAGTAGCGCGAGCAGGACGAACAGGCGACGCAGGACGAGACGCAGGCTCACGACGCTCAGCAAGACCTCCAGTAGGACCAGTGTAAGGAGAGGGAGCAGGTAGCGGAGAGGAAGGCTCCAGCAGGGACTGCGACTGGACAGGCGGTGGACTCTCTACCGGAGGAGAAAGACCAAGAACCTGCTGTAGTAGCGGAACGAAGTACGGTCGAGGCCGCTCAGCAGCTCCAGGCGCAGGGCCGAGCAGAGGCCGGCGGCAGGGCCGCGTAAGGAGCCGGCGGACAGGGCCGTGAAGGAGCCGGGACGGGGCCGCGTGAGAGGCGGCGCGGGGCCGAGTAGGAGCCGGCGGCGGGGCCGCGTAGGAGCCGGGGCAGGGCCGCGTAGGAGGCCGGCGCGGGGCCGCGTAAGGGGCCGGCGCGGGGCCGCGTAAGGGGCCGGCGGCGGGGCCGCGTAAGGGGCCGACGGACAGGGCCGCGTAGGAGCCGGGGCGGGGCCGCAATGGAGCCGGTGGCGGGGCCGAGTAGGAGCCGGGGACGGGGCCGCGTAGGAGCCGGCGCGGGGCCGCTTAGGAGCCGGCGCGGGGCCGCGTAAGGGCCGCGTAAGGGGCCGGCGCGGGGCCGCGTAAGGAGCAGGCGGCGGGGCCGCGTAAGGGTCAGGGCGGGGCCGCGACAGAGTGGGCGGCGAGGCCGCAGGGGAGAGGGCGACTCGAGGGGTCGCTAAAAAAAAACCGCGCCTCGGGGCGCGCTTCGGTGGGCCCAAAAAAAATCGGTCCTGGAGGGACCTAGCTCTATACCATGTGAAACAATGAGAAGAGGAATGAAATGACTAAGTCAGAAATTGGTACAAATAACAAACCCTAGGAATCTGTACCCCATATGTGCTACCCCACTACAGCCTACAAACATGTATCAGCTATAATGTTCTGACAGGATGCGTCGAGCGCCTAGCGTGATCATCGCCCACAAGTTACGCACGTCTATCTCTCAATGACACCCTGTTTGTTTCTTGTTCAGGCGATGGAATGGAACAACGAGCAGGACAAAGAGCATATGTTCTTCGCAGCGAAAAGTTTCTTGAAGGCCCTACAAGCCGCCCGAATGCCCATCGCAGAGGATCTTGCGATGTACTACGTCCATTGTGACGACCATCCCTTCGACGGACTGACTGTTTGTGACTGCGAGCGTCATCCGTACGCACAGATGTCGGATTTGTGCAAGGACATAGACTTCCAAAAATGGGTGCTTGACGTGTACCTGCTCGACAACTACGGCATCGAGATGCGGACCAACCTGACCATGTCGAGAGCATCGGTAAGATGGCCCTTCCACATCTTGATCCGAAGTGTTTGCATCAGCCCATTTATCGCTCGCCGTCTTGTGTGCAGGACGCATCCTTTCAACTCAACACCAAGCACGTCATCACGCAACTCCGGGCGGAGGTTAACTTACACAAGGAGGCAGGAGGGAAGAAAGAAATCAAGATCAAACACCTCGAGCACAAGGTCGAGTCATTGGAGCGGGAGAAGGGCACGATGCAAGCGGCGTTGGAGGCGAAGGACGAGGCACTCGCGCGACTGCAGAAAGCGTTCGATGCACTTAAGATTACCGCGTCGACAAGCGCGGCTGCGAACGTGGGGGATAGCGAGAGCGTGCCGCAGACGGCGACCGAAGAAACCACCCCGCCAACACAGCAAGCCCCACAAACAACACACACTCGATAGAGCGTGGGCAGCCAGCTCGACCAAGCATTGTTCGACGCTGTGGTATGGCCGTGGTGCAATTGCGAGACCGTGCGGCAGGCGTGGTCCTACTGGGATGGGCCAAGCCCGCTGAACAACGGACACAGTCTTCAACACGCTTACAGGAGGGGCTTCGCCGTCAAGTTCAGCAAGTTCACTCCGACTCCTCCCCCCGTTCCCCCTGAAGAGGAGGCCAGGCCAAAAGAAAAGCCTCCATCCCAAAAAGTTGTCGAGTCGAAATCGCGGAAAATGGAGGTTGTCATGAGGGCCGTCGAGACGTTCAGGATCGACGACAGCAGCGCGGCTGCGTCGACGATCATCAAAAAGCTTGACTCTATTGTCACGAAGCACTCGATCAACATGCTGGCGGAAGGGCTCGTTCTCAAGGAGGATTCGGGGAAGCAGCTCACGAAGAAGCGGAAAGTCCAGATAGCAGACGAAAACCGCAAGGACAAAGATCGCCTCAGGATCATGCGGGAGCTAATTCGCGTCGAACTCCGAACCACGGAATGGGCCGAGAACGTGTTCAAGGACAAATGGACGGAGTTTATAAAGGCAACGGGCGAGGGCCCTACTTCGACAAGCAACCGTGACGAGGGGGGAAACTAGAGGGGAAACTAGAGTAGGATTTTCTTTCAGAATTTGCATGGCATGTTGAGCATTATCGCATAGTTGAACTACTTTACCATATCGAATACAAAAACTCAAAAATTATGCATCGGGTACAGCCTGTCTATCGAACTCTGGAAACAACAAACACAACTGTCGAGAGATACAAACACCCCCTCGCAAAGTGCCCACCTAGCCTACTCCCCTTGCCCGCCCGTTTCCTTCTCCGTAGCATCCTCGTCGCCCAGCTTTGCCTTGCTCTTTTCTTCTGGCATTGCCAGGCTGCCATAGCCCGCGTCCTCCAGCAAGCGGGCAGCCGCTCGACAGCAGCACCATTGCGTGCAGACCTGTGCGGCCACGCGCACCATCTGCAACAGGACAGGGTCCATCGAGCCGAGACCTTCGACAGCCGACGAATACAGCTGATCGGGCCACTGCTTCGCCGGGAACGTCTTGCCGACGTGCAAAAGTATGGACACGAGTGCGGCCATGGCAGCCACACAAGCCTTGGTCGTAGTCTCCGAGGCGAAGAGAGCAGCGTTTGCGGCAGCTAGGGCATCCTTCTTAATATCCTCCCTCGACAACTTCGTGCACGCCGCCCACAAGCTCGCCAGAGTTGCAGCGATGGCCATCATGTGTGGTGTCGCCGCCATGCCCTTAGGAACCGGATAAATCAGGTTCCCGCGCTTCATGCCAAGCGTCGCGACCTTACCAATCGCCGCGCACAGCGCGATTCCCCAGTCGGTTCCAGCTCGAACTTCCTTATTTGCCGTCGCCAACAGCAACTGGAAACTGCACATCGCAACAAACGCGTAAGCCAGGAGGCCAGAATCCGACCGATAGAAAACTCACAGCCAAACAGCATGTGTTTGACAAAACACACCAACAACAGAACTTCGACACAAATGTCAAACAACAAGAATTCGACAGAACTCACACATCGAAACGACATTGCCCTTGTTCTTGCGCCACGCTCCAAACGCCGGTTGGCATTTTAGCAGCCGCATCGAGATAGACCTTGCACTCCTGCTCATCCAGCGCTGTAAACGCCTCGTACTCGGTAAGGACGATGTCGGGGAAGTACACGCGCCAGCAGATGGTCGTACAGAACTTTTGGTCCTTCTCCGTTTCAAAGTGTCCCAAGAACCGCTTCCTCCCGCCGACGGTCTGCTCGGAAACTGGCTTCCCCTTCCGCAACCCGAAACCCTGTCCTTTGAAGGGAGCTTTGCAGCCCCTCGTCTTGCCTTGGTCGTCCGGGGGAGGAGGTGGGGTGTAACCCATCACCTTCGCCTTCTTCGACTTTTCCTGTCGAGCAGCAACGACAATAGTGGTCTTCTCGACATGCGCCTGACCAGGGACGCTGGCCATCTCCACGATCCCAAGGCTCTCTGTCGCATGTGCAGAGCGCTTCGACGACTTTGTCGCAGCAGGCTTCTTCTTCGACGTTGAAGGGGAGCCCGGATCGCTAAGGCAAACGTTGCCTAGGGCCGGAGTAGTGGCGACAGGAGCAGCTGGAGGGGTTGAGGACGACGCCCAATTTCCCACATGCTCGACAGCTCGGCTAGCAGCACCACTCTGCGCAGCTGATGCCCCTTTAGTCTTCGACATCAACCCAGCGGTTGCCTCTCCCGCTCCTTTCCCCGCACTGACGCCGGACGAGGTAGAGGCACCTCGATTTCCAAAGGCTCTATTCCCGGTTGAGGTGACGTGCACGTTCGGGGCACCAAATTTCTTCCCCGCAACCACTCCTTTCCCACCCGTTTTCCCTAGGCCCTGCAGCATGTCCCGCATCGAAGTGAACGCATCAGGCGGAGCGATTGGAGCCGCTGCAGAGGTCTTCGGGAGGGGCGACTGGTCAAGAACGATGACCTCGTTATCCTCGACGGGCTTGGCGACATGTCCTCCCACCGAAGAAGACGGAGGAACCGACCGCTCGTGACCACGAGGCTCAGCGCCACATCGAACCCCAGCCACACCCTCCTGACGCGACCTCGTCGACGGGCCCGTCGATCGCTGAAAACCTCTCACCATCGCTTCGGTGAGGACTTCCAGTCGCCCAGCTTCGCCTTCCTGGTAGCCTTGCCTCACTATGTCCTTCAGCTCCTTCATGGTCTCAGGTGGGAGGTTAGTGTAAAACATGTCCTCCTTGATGGCTTTCTCGAAACCCTTCAGCACCGCAGCAACCACCCGCTCCTCGACCTGCTTGAGCTGCTTCTCGACAGCGTCCTCGCTTGCTTTTGTGATGGCGGCTGAAACCCCCTCGATGATCTTCCGGGTCATCTCGTCGATCTTCGCCCGCGCCCCTTCAAACACGTCGGCAACGAGCTGCTTCTGCGACGCCGCGACCTTCTCGACCCTCTGCAGTAGCTCGACGACCTAGCCTCCAGGTGCAACGTTCGCCGTCGATTGGCATGCCGTCGAAGGCCCTCCGATCGAAGGGCCCGCCTGTCCGTTGCCACTGGCCGTGCGGTGTCTCCTTGTTATCGCGGCCTGTCGATCATCTCCTCGACGATACTCAGCCGCCTCCCCGCCCTCCTGCTCCTGCCCTCCCGCCCCACCCACCTGCGCAGCAGCCACCCTAAACTCCTGCTGCTGCACTCCTGCCCCACCCTCCTGCGCAGCCGCCACGCCCTCCTGCTGCTGCCCTCCTGCCCCACCCTCCTGTGCAGCCGCCACGCCAACCTGCTGCTGCCCTCCGACCCCACCCTCCTGCGCAGCCGCACCGCCCTCCAGCTCATCGACAGCCGTAGTTTCGCCCGTTGCCTGCTGCTCGATTTGCTCTACCCGCTCGTCCACATGCTCCCCCAACGCCACTCCATGCTCCCCCGTACGCTCCGTGCTATGTCCGGCGCCGTCGCCGTCGTCCTCGACCGACTCATCGCTCGAGCTCGAGCCGGAGCTCGATCCCGAGCTCGAGTCCTCGTCCTCGTTCGCACCGCCGCCCGGGCCGCGCACCCCGCGCTGAGCCTGCCTCGATATATCCTCCTTGACCTCCTCCTCCTCCTCGACGCTGTACTCTACCACGGCGCCTGCCGTCTCCTCGCCTCCTCCCTCGTGGTCGACACCCCCTCCCAAACCTACTCCCTCCGCCACCTCGTTGATCTTTCTCCAAAACCGCTTGACCATGAACAACGGAAGCGCAACCGGGCCAGGGTTCGTTCTCCCGAGAGGCACGAGTTCGCCCTTTCGAGGCTGCAGGATGAAGTCGTCCCATTTCAACAGAATCCGGCGCACCCCATGCACGACACGAGCTGCCGCGCCGTTTTCATGGGGGCTCGACAAGGGCGTCGTCGTTTGCGACGGGTACAAAACATACGTAAGCGACAGAACACATGCTCGACGAGATCACTGGTGGTCTAGAAGAGCTTACCAGACGATCGAAATCATCGTTCAACTCCAGACGAAGGTCAATCACGCTCAACACTTCTTGGTCGTGCTCGGTCAGAGCCTGGTGGGTCATTGCGTACTCGGCACGAAGCTGCTTCTTCATCCACCTGCGACGCAACGGACAGAAGAGTAAGACTGTCGAGAACAGCAGCTCGACAGCAGGGTGGCAAAGCTGTCACTCACACGAAAACCTCTTGCGCCAGAGAATCCTGGTGGTTCATATCGGGAAACCTGTCTTTTGAATCGAAGTGCATCATTCGAGTTCGACTGCCACGGTGCCTCGGAGCCAGCAGATCGTCCGGGCGCGATACCACAAACAGGCTCGAGTGGGAGAACGGAGGCACACTCCGTCTACATGCAGAGCCAATGCACGTGAGAACGGGTTCAGGGCTAAAGACGGAGCAACCAAGGCGACGGGAGAGTGTTGAACTCACAGTGTCCGCAGCAGAACGAAAACCACTTGCTTGCCGAGGAGGCCGTCGAGGTGGTTGTTCGCAAAAGCGGCCGGGGTGGGACGGGCCATCTCTTCACGCGCACGCGCCGGAGTCACGATCGACACCTTGGGGAGCTGCTCGACGGATAGCAGCTCATGACAGAACAGGCTGCATGGAAAGCTAAGGCAACGTCAGCGACAGGTAAACCGGAACATGGCAAGCCGAAAATGTTCGACAGGACACGTACACGACGCCCGCGGTCATCATGCTCTCGTCGAGCTCCCCTTTCGGCGCCTCGCTAATCGCATTCAGCTGGTCCTCCTACACCTCCACCTCGACCCCGCCTGCACTAAGGATGAGGCCGCGTCGAACCGTCGGCTGGTTCATGACGGGTACGGAGGCGGGGCCCGTAGCCATGTCAGGCCTAGCAGTGGACAGGGCGGGCGCGCAGGGGAGTTGGGAACTAGCAGGGACTAGGAAGTAGTGAAGTAAAAATCGGAAACAGCAACAAAATGAGACCGGACGTAGGGTGTTAGCTGTTTGCCATCCCTCCCACCGCGACGGACCAGGGGGGTTCAAGGGCGAGGAGGCAGGGCGCGTTCCGAGACGCGGGAGGAGGAGCTCTTCGTGGAGGCCGGCGGGGCACTATTGGCCTCGGTTGGGTGGGGACCAATGCCAGCTCGAGGGCGCGGGTTGATGGCGTCACGCGCAGCTGGCGCCAGCTGGGGGTGCCTGTTTCCGGGCGGGAGGGGGGGGGTTGGCTCCCGCCCCTCGCGTGCCCCGCTAGGCGACTGCGGGAAAACGAAAATCCCTCCGAGGAAAACCCACAGGGGCGAACGGGTTTCCGCGGAGGGATTCGGGCGATGTCTTCCCACAGAAATCCCAAATTCCCTGTTATGCACTTAGCCGTAGCTTCAAAGCTGGCAAAGCGGCGTTGTCATGTAAACTTACAGCTTTGCCTTACCAGGCCCTTTCAATGCTATTGATTCGCGAGAGCTGCTGAACCAAGCCAGACGTTAGCAAACACTTACAACGACACCTTGTTTCTTTAACAGGTTTGTCGCGAATACGATCGAACAAGATACGGAGAAACCCGCTAGCAGCCTGTTTCACGAGGTTCTTGTTGCTGACATTTCTAGTAGCTCAGTCATCGATAGTGAAACTTAGCCCAATCCGTCATTGTCCTGCTTTCCATAGACCCAGCAGAAGGGAAAAATCGGTGCGATAGAAGTCTGTCTTTGGCGAATGAGAAGGCTCCACTTTTGAGTTTTTGGCCAGGTGGTGTCCTATCCGGCAGCAGCAAGCAAAGCCGGAAAAAAGTACAACGACAGTCGAAATGCAATCTGTGAGGAGTGTACAGGGGGGAGGATCAGGTGGCGATGAAGATGCGGGTGGGAAGGACCCTTCGGATGTGCCTCCTGTTGCATCCGCCGCTGTGGGTGCGCCGCCGTCCGCCACCCAGGTGGAGAGCACGAGCAGCAGTTACGACGAGGAGATTTCGGAATGCATGCACAAATTGAAGATGACGGCGCAGTGGCTTCGTTACGAAAGCGAGGGTGAGCCAAAGATGGCAGAGCGACGACGAAGAAACGGTCGCGACAGGAGAGCAGGGATGCAGAAAGGATCCGAGAAGCTTCAGGTGCTGTCGCGGGCGGATATGGTGCATTACATGGACGTGAGAGGCGCGTGGGACTGGCAAGTGTGCGAGTGCTGCTTCGACCGCGTAGTGAGCTACCGAGCACAGCGCGTACTTGGCATTGTCCGCCTGGCAACTTTCCGTTGCGACCTTGAGAACCAGCTGCCTGACTCCATCCCTTTGCTCCCCAGGGTCGGCCGCCCAGCGCCATTGTTGAGTACTCTGCAGGGGTACCCATGAGGGCTTTTGAGACTCCGGGAGGTTTGTGTCAGAACATTATAGCTGATACATGTTTGTAGGCTGTAGTGGGGTAGCACATATGGGGTACAGATTCCTAGGGTTTGTTATTTGTACCAATTTCTGACTTAGTCATTTCATTCCTCTTCTCATTGTTTCACATGGTATAGAGCTAGGTCCCTCCAGGACCGATTTTTTTTGGGCCCACCGAAGCGCGCCCCGAGGCGCGGTTTTTTTTTTTTTTTAGCGACCCCTCGAGTCGCCCTCTCCCCTGCGGCCTCGCCGCCCACTCTGTCGCGGCCCCGCCCTGACCCTTACGCGGCCCCGCCGCCTGCTCCTTATGCGGCCCCGCGCCGGCCCCTTACGCGGCCCTTACGCGGCCCCGCGGCGGCTCCTAAGCGGCCCCGCGCCGGCTCCTACGCGGCCCCGTCCCCGGCTCCTACTCGGCCCCGCCACCGGCTCCATTGCGGCCCCGCCCCGGCTCCTACGCGGCCCTGTCCGCCGGCCCCTTACGCGGCCCAGCGGCCGGCCCCATTACGCGGCCCCGCGCCGGCCCCTTACGCGGCCCCGCGCCGGCCTCCTACGCGGCCCTGCCCCGGCTCCTACGCGGCCCCGCCGCCGGCTCCTACTCGGCCCCGCGCCGGCTCTCACGCGGCCCCGTCCCGGCTCCTTCACGGCCCTGTCCGCCGGCTCCTTACGCGGCCCTGCCGCCGGCCTCTGCTCGGCCCTGCGCCGACCCCTGCGCGGCCCTGCCGCCGGCTCCAACGCGGCCCTGCCCCGGCTCCTAAGCCGGCCCTACCGCCGGCCCTGCCGCCGGCTCCAACGCGGCCCTGCCTCGGCTCCTACGCGGCCCTACCGCCGGCCCCTTCGCGGCCCCGCCCCGGTTCTCTTACGCGACCCCGCCGCCTCACCTGCAGCAGTCGGGCGGCCGGGCAGCCGAGCCGCCCAGTCGCCGAGCCGCCCGGGAGCCGAGTCGCCCTGCACCCGAGCCGTCCGTCGCCGAGCCGCCCGGGAGCCGAGCCGCCCTGCACCCGAGCCGCCCTGCCGCCGAGCCGCCCGTGAGCTGAGCAGCTGTACACCCGAGCCGCCCGGTCGCCGCTCTGCTTTTCTGTCGAGCTGCACGGCCTGCCCTGCCTGGTGAGCACAGTCCCTCTGTCACTGCGCCCTCTTTCCCTACTGCTTGCACTGCTTCGCTGTCGTCATCATGGCCACCCCTAGTGTCCTAGCCTTTGACGCCGAGGGTCGCGCCATTGATTTTGAGGTCTGGCTAGATGACCTGCAGCTTTTCTTACAGTGCGACAGAGCTGACAGCCTTTCTCTCTTTGACCTCACCTCTGGCGCCTCTCCTGCTCCTGCTGCCGATGCTGATCCCACTGTCCGCTCTCAGTGGGCCACCCGCGATGCTGCTGCACGTCTTGCTGTGCGTCGCCACCTCCCTACCTCTGAGCGTGCGCATTTTAGTCAGTACAAGAGTGCTCAGACCTTGTACGACGCTGTAGTTGCACGCTACTCCTCTCCTGCCACTGCTGCACTGAGCCGTCTCATGCTTCCCTACCTCTTTCCTGACCTCTCTGCCTTTCCCACTGTCGCTGACCTCATTACGCACCTCCGCACTAGTGACACTCGCTACCGCGCCGCCCTTCCTGCTGAGTTCTGCGCTAAGAACCCCCCCCCCATGTACATCACTCTCTACTACGTAGTCGCACGCCTCCCTGACTCCCTCCGCGTAGTCAGGGACCACTTTCTCGCAGTCTGTCCCACCACTCTCACCGTCGACCTCCTCGAGAAGGCCCTCCTCGCAGCGGAGAAGAGCATAGTCGCTGTCGGTGCCTCTCGTGGTGACCCTCGCACCCCCATCTTTGAGGGGTGCTCTCCTTCCCCCTTGCTGCCCTCTGTTGCCTCTGCTGCTGCGGCCGACCTGCTTGGTCTTGAGTCGGTCGGCGCGGCGTCTGCCCCTAGTGGGAGACGTCGCCCTGGCAAGGGCAAGGGGGGCAAGGGCGCGGGCGGAGCTGGAGGGGGCGGTGGCGGTGGAGGCGGAGGCGGCGGAGGGAGTGGGGGTGGCGGCGGGAGTGGTGGTAGTGGTGGTGGTGGTGGTGGCAGCAGCGGCGGAGACGGTGGTGGTGGTGGCACCGGTGGTGGTGGAGGCAGCAGCGGGAGTGGAGGCGGTGGAGGTGGAGGCGGTGGAGGTGGAGGCGGTGGAGGCGGCGGCGGAGGAGGCGGTGGTGGTGGAGGAGGTGGAGCTGGTCGTGGTGGTACCCAGCAGCGGAGCGGCGGTGGTGGTGGCCAGCGCTCGCAGCGGCAGCAGCAGCAGCGTTCGCGGGACATCCCTCCGCCTCAGCAGCTTCGTGAGTGGTACACTGCGCGTCAGAGGGGTGGGGGTACTGGTCCCTGCGCCTACGTTCTTCGTTCCGGCGACCGCGCGGGTGAGCAGT